AAGGGTATGAGCGATTTGGGTAGAAGAGCGATTTGGGAGCGATTTGGGTATTATTAACTACTGCCCTGCAACCAAGGGGTGGTAAGAAAAGGGTGGTTAGGAATATGAAATGTGTCTTTACCTTTTGGTTTCCTTTGATTTGCCGACTTCCTCCTCCATAAGGTTGCACGCAGTGCAACCTTGTGGGGGGGGTAACTACTTCTACATTTTCTCTCTATTCCTAACAAGAGTCTATAAAATAGAATATACCTAAATAATTTATTACCTCTAATCTACTTAAATATATATTTACTACTCAAAATAACCATCAGAAACATTTTAGTCAAAAAATAATTTTTAAAAGCCAATTTTAAAAATGCGGCAGCTTTTTGAAGAAAAAATTTATTTTTTCGTGTTTAGTAAGTCATTTTAACATGACAGGAAAGGCTTTTCATCATAAAAAAAAGAAAATAAAAAGCTACTGACTACATAATCTCACTCACTCAGTTAATTTTAAAAGTTATATTTTTAAAAATATATTTTTTTAAGAAAAGCAGCGGGAAATATAAAAATAAATAAATAAATTTAGAAATAAGTTTTGTGTATTTTACAAGAAATTTGAAGGGAAAACCTGCTGCTTTTAATTCTTAAAAAAAATTTTATTTAATTATCCCAAAAATATTTTTATTTAATAGGGTTAAAGTTGAAAAACAAGTACCTAATTTTCTTTTATTTTTAGATTTGAAAAAATATTAAAAAAGTTAAGAAAAAAATTTTTTATTGAAAATAAAAATATATAAAGCTGGACAAAGAAAATTTTATTAAAATTTTTAATCCAAAAAATTTTGTTTGAAATTTTTGCTTAAAAAATTTTTTTAAATTTTAAATTTTAATTTAATTTAAATAAAAAAATATTAAAATTAATTTAAAAATAAACACAACAATTGTCTACTTAAAATAAATATTTCTTATTTCTCTCTTCCCTTCTCTATTGTTATACCAAAAAAAATTTTTCTTAATTTCCCCCCATTTTCCAGAAAATAATAGATTAAAAACGAAAAAAAATTTTAGCAAAAAATTAAAGAAAATATTTGGATGGTTGGTTAATAGGAAAAAAATATAGATTTAATTCAAAAAAATTAAATAAAAATTCAAAATTCTAAAATTAAATCCTTGATTAAAATATTCAAATGTGTGCTAAATAATTTTATTTATTTATATATTTTTAAAGGAAAAATTAAAAAAAAATATTTTTAGATTTTGTTTAATGGGAAAAGGGATTTTCCTTAAATAAATTTTCTAAAAAAATTTTTGTTTAAATAAAAACATATGTTTTTTATTTTTTAAAAATATTTTTTGAAATAAGAGAAAGTGTTCTAAAAATGTTAAGAAAATGAGAGGAAAAAAATATTTTAAAATTTATGTAAAAAAATAAACTTTTAAAAAATGTTGTTAAAATTTAAAAAAATATTTAAGGATTAAATAAAAAATATATATAATTTTTTGTGATGTAATGATGAAAATTGAGAAGATTTTTAAAAAATAATAAAAAAATATTTTTTAAAAAATTTTAAAAAGAAAGCTACAAATACCTACATAAAATAAATATATTTACAGCAGGGCTTCGATCTCAAATCTTTAAAAATCCGCAATTTCGATTGAAAAAATCCGCATTTGATATGAAAAATCCGCAAAAAATTATCAAACACAAAAATTGAATTAAAATCACTTTATGCGTTATATTTTTTGACTCCAACAATTGAATTAAGCAATTTTTTAACTAGTAATGACAATCTTATTAAAATCCGAACAATTAAATGAAAAATTACAGTTGACTTAAGCCAATGCGTTCACCGTCCCTAGATGTAGTGAATTGTTTACTCGAAAAATCTTCCTTTTTGCGCCGCAGGCAAAAATTTTACGGATTTTGGAAGGCCACGAAGCCAAAATCGTCCTTTTTCAGCGCCGCAGGCGAAAATTTTGGGAATTTTTGAAGACAAAGAAGCCAGATTTCTTCGATTTTCGGCGCCGCAGGCAAAAATTTTGCGGATTTTGGAAAGCCATAAGACAGATTTCTTCCTTTTTCAGCGCCGCAGGCGAAAATTTCGGGAATTTTGGAAGGTCAGGAAGACAAAATATGACATTTTATCCTTTAAACTACATGAAAATTTAAAAAATCCTCATAATCTTCAAAAGACCACAAAAATCCGCAATTCCGCATTTTAAAAAATAATCCTCATCGCCCTGTCAAAAAACCACAAAATGAGGAAAAATCCGCAGAAATCGAAGCCCTGATTTACAGGGTTGGTGAAATTAAGAGGGTTTAGGTATTTTAATTTAAGAAATACTAATGATTTAAAATATTTTTTTATTAATTTAAAAAATAACAAAAAAAATCTTGAAAATTATTTGTAAAAAAATTTTTTTAGTAAATTTGTCCTCAAACGGAAACAAAAAATATATCTAAATAGAAAGTAGCTTCTCCAAAAATATAAAAAAAGTTCTTTTAAAGAATTTCTTTTTTCTCGAGGGAATATATGTACATATTTTTGTTTTTACTTCAATGGCTTTTTTAAAGAAAAAAAAGTTTTTATGGACAAATAAATTTTGAAAAAGGATTTGAAAAAAGTAAAAAAGAAAAGTTTGTAAGTATATAATAATAATTAAATTAAATTTAAATAATAAATTAGTAAGTATTGCTAATAAAAAATAACATAAAAATTCAGAAATTAGAATTAAAAAACAATTATATGTACATAGATATTAAATCAGAATTTTATCTTTAAAGGATCAGAATTTGAATTTTTAGAATCAGAATTTAAAAATCATAATAAAAATAGGAAAATAAATAGAGTAATTAATCAGAATTTCATTTTGGAATAACAAAAATAAAATCAGAATTTAAAATGAATATATCAGAATATTTAGTATATAACTAGTTCTTTTAAAATATTAACAAACAGATATGTAAAGAAAAATATTAATTCTTTAAAAATTAATTTATATACAGGGTGCGCCATAAGTAATTGCACACTTTTAATTCCTTATAACTTTTTTTGTTGTCAAAATTTTTAATTGATTTTAGGCTTATTTTTTAGCTCATTCAATTCTCTATTATGGCTAGTCAACGTGATTCTATAATCTCACTTTTTTTGCAAAAAAATTCAGTCCGCAAAATTTCATCTCTTTTGATTGTGGCACGCATGTCCGGACATTTTTTTCACAAACGAAAAAATTTTTACAATAAAAATCGTACACAACCATCAAAATTATAGAATCTGGACTACAGAATCTCCTCTTTCCGATAAGCTTATCACACATTCCCAACATCCCCAATCTGTCATGGTTTGGGCCGGTATTTGCGCGTCAGTCAAAAAACCCCTTATTTTCGTGGATTTTGGTGTAAAAGTCAACAAAGACTATTACTTGCGAGAAATTTTTCAGCGAGTTCTGAAGCCTTAGTTCAAGAGCCATTTCGGTCGCAGAGTCTGGATTTTCCAACAGGACTCTGCTTCGGCACACAAGGCGATAGAAGTTCATGACTGGTGCAAGGCCAATTTTCCTGGGTTCATTAGCGCTCAGTAATGGCCGCACTACTTCCCGGATCTAAACCCGATGGATTATTCTGTTTGGTTTATTTTGGAGTCCAGGGTCTGTGCTATGCCTCACAAAAGTTTGGAGTCTCTGCGCCACTCTCTCACCCGAGTGTGGGACTTAATTACACTTAAAGAGGTGCGTGCTATTAGCGAAAATTTTTCTTCACGCCTTCGCCTCTGGATCGACGCCAAGGGTGGGTATCTCGAATCTTCTTGATTATTATTGTTCCTTATTTAATTCTCTATCATTTGATTGTATTTCGATTTTATTTGATTGTGTTTTAATAAAGTTATGAGAGAAAACAAGTGTGCAATTACTTATGGCGCACCCTGTAGTATTATTTTTAAATAAATAGTATTTAAAGTATTTTTGGAGTTAAAGTAATTACGTAATTCGGGTAGTTTTTTAAATAAAAGTTGCGTATTTTTAGTTTAATGAATAAATAAATTAATTAATTATTTGCAGAAAATTTTAAAATAAATTTTAAAAAGTTAAAAATAGTAAAATAATATTTTTATAAAATCATGTTTTTAATTACGGTTCTCGTTTTGGCACTTTTGTGATTCTGAAGTTTTTTCAGCTTTTTGCGGATTAATATTGAGGCTTTTTATAACACTTTTTAAAAGAAATTCCTAATATCCTCTTTCACTCCCTCAAGTAATTAAAATTAAAAACAACTTCTAAATAAAACAATAAATAAAATAATTACGTCAACAAAACTATCAATAAATATATATTTTAATAAAAACAAATTTAAATAAACTAAAAAATTAATTACGTTTATATTTATTCGCTAAATATATTTAAAGGTTTCTTTAAAAATATAAATTTCCATAAATGGCCGATTACTATCAAAAATAGAGGCAAAAAAAGGAGAAAATGATAAATGAAAAGACGGGTTTTTTAAAGAAAAATTTTTTTGAATTTTTTAATAAAATTTTCTTATCATGATTTTTTAAACTTCAAAAAAGCTACAAAGTTTGTTTTTATTTTTTTAAAGATTTGAAATAACTTTCCCAAACATTCGAAATTAAAAAAATAATGGAGATAATCTGAACGACATAATTTCAAAAATATTTTAACTCAGACTTGGTAATGGACACGGATTTTGGTATAAGCATCCGGATATTTACGGCGGATACAGCGGATATCCACAGGAACTTTGAGAACTTAGATGTATCCATATCCGTATCAATTACCAAGTCTGGTTTAACTAAAAATTCTAAATTAAATTTTAAAACAATTTAAAACAAAATATTCAAAATTAATTAATTCTATTTCACCTAAATGTACATACAGTGTACATTTCCTAATTTAAAATTTATTTAAAAATAAATACTATTTTTCTTTCAAAAATAAAACTTGTTTTAAAACAACAAAACTTTTTTTTAAAAAACAAAAAAAAAGTAATAAATACATTTCTTTTACAATATTTTTAATATGCCGCCTTTATTTATGTCAAAGGCGGCCAAAATTAAGAGGCAAAAAAAGAAAAAGAAAAATGGGTTAAAGCAAGAAAAAATAAAAATAAAAATGTACATTATATTCTTTTTTTCTAAGTAAGAGTCAGGCCACATTGAAGAGGAGGAAGAGCCAGGCGAATAATTTTGTTTTAGTTGAAGCCATGAGAGCATTTGTGATGAGCATGAGGGCAATGAATGGAGAATGAATGAGTTTTTGAGGGAATGAACAGGCTAAAACTATATAGAAGTAGGTAGATGATGGAGGGGAGGGGAAGAAGGGGGAAACAACAGCTGCTACAAAGAAGGAGGGGGGGGGTTTAAAAGAAGAAATGGATATATTAAATAGGGATGACAGATTATTTTAAGTTTATTTGACAATTTTTGGGTAGCTAAGTCTAATGGAGGGGATATATTAAGTGAGAAACTCACCTAGTCACGGGAAAAGAATATTAGCTAATGAATTATGGAAGGACCTGGATCACGGAAAATGGATCAAAAAAAGAAGAATAAGAATATTCATAAAAACAAATTTGGCTGGTAGTGTGGCATATACCCACCCGTTTGAATTTTAAAAAGTTGTGTTCTACATTATTAATAAAAGAACCTTGAGGAAAAATAAGATTATTAAAGATATTAAAAGTGTTCATTTGGAAGGTAGGTAGATGAGGGTTATGAACGGTTAATGAACATTTGAATGGAAGAGCTGGAGAAAAAGGGATATGCCTACCTATTTTTATTTGAAGAAGCGTGAGAGAAATGAGGTCGAGGTGTCAGAAAATAAAAATAAAATGAAGGACAAATTATGCAAGATGAGAAAAAAAGAATGAGAAAAGAGGACAATAAATTATTTATTTATGAGAGCGAACGGCAATAACCGGAAATTTATTTAAAAATACAAAAAGAACAAAAAAATAAAATTTAAAAAGTTAATTGGAATAAAAATTTGGGGTAAGAACAGCAAATGGAAATATTGAAAATAATCACTGGATAACGTCAAACTAACAATAAGCATTGAAAAAACCCCTAGTTGAGTCAAATCAAGAGTCAAAAATTAATACCCCCCCCCCCCAAATAAACAGAAAAATGATAAATTTACTAAAAAATTGAAAATAAGTACAAATTCAAAAATAACAAATACCTAAATAGAAAAATAAATAGGTAGTATGTTTTTCATTATTTCCAAGTCTGGTTAAAAGAAAATAATTTTAAAAAGCCAATACCAAATTTGCATTTTCACGTATTTTTGGTTGTTTTTTTGCTTTTTTTATTTATTTGATTGATGAAAAGTGCCATTTATTTATTTAGACCTTTCCTTTAAATTATTCATAAAAAAACATTATTTTTGGTTAATTTCATGCATTTTCAAGTAATTAATCATCAAAAAATATTTTAATTAAAAATTCGACGAAATAAATGTTTGTGATATTATTTTTCTAATTTTTAAATTAAAAATAAAAGATAGTACAGAGATCCCATTAATCAAGAATTTTGTCAGGATTCCCCTCTCCCCTTTTACTTTTTCATATTTTAAATCCTTTCCGGAAAAGGAATTTTCTTATATATTAATTATTAACTAAATATCAATTTAAATTTTAATTCAAATTTTTTTAAACTCGAAAAAAATGAAATTTAAATAAAAATAATATTTATAAAAATTAATTTTTACTATTTATCATAAAATATTTAAAACTAAATATATTAATTATTAAAAAGAATTAAGAGAGATCTGTATTTTAAATTTTGTTTAAACTTATTTAATTTCAAACAATTTTTAATAAATTTTAAAATTCAGATCTTTGTAAAAAAATTAATGTTTTAAATAATTCATTCAAAGGACACAATTAATTTCAATAAAAGGCAATCTACGAGATTTTTAAAAAATATTTTGGGCAGAAATTATGCGACAAAAAAGCTATACAAATTAATATAGGTATAAACTTTGAGAGAAAAAAAGATAAAAGCTCTAATTTCTAAATTAATTTTTTTTAAATATTTTAAATTAAAAATTAAATTTAAAAAATTTCCCAATAGTCCAAAATTAATTTAATTATTTTTAGAGATGAAACTAAAAAATTTTCCTTCTTCCCAATTATAAATATTTGTTAGATTAATTTGTTTATATAAAATTCTGATTTAATTTTATATATTAATTAAAATAGTACAAAATAAACAATATTTTTTAAAGATAACTTTGAGTGTTAATACTAAAAGCGGGAAAGGGAAAATTAACTGTTTATAAATGCACATATATATTTTTGATAAAATTATTTATTTGATACCTAACATTTTGATTATTCCTATATTATGCTTTTTTGAGTGAAAAGTGAAGAAGATAAGAATTAATTCTCTAATTTTATAAAAAATTTTTTAATTCTGAACGTTTACAGATAAGTTTATCAAAAATTTAGAAAAGATGGTAGTAACTTTTATAGGCATTTAAGATACAATTGAGTATCTGGCCCAATCCGAAAGGAATGCCGGCATCCAATTTTTCCTTTCCTCCTCGAATGGGAAAGAGAAAGTTAATTTTTCGGCTGTAGTATAGTAAATCGGGTAACTTTGTCCAAACTCTTTTAACTCAGTTCGACTAGATTCATTACCTATTAGTGAAGAAATCCTCGACAATTCTGTTTCTGTTTTTAATTTGGTAAATCCTTAAGTCTTTAATAACTCCAAATAAAAATTAATAAAAATGATGTCCATACATAAAATATGTATACACTCCTCACTTTTCACTATTTACAAAACAACAAAATATATATTAATTCTTTATTATTAACTGAACTATAACTCTAAAATATCTTTCCTAATTAAAAAAATTTTTCCTATTAACCGGTAACCGCAATATCATTGCGGCGTTCAAATCGAGGGAGAAACAGTCCAAATTTATGTTCAATTCCAGAAAATGTGGCTGCTGCAAGTTTGTAACCGCCAATATGATGAGGATTGGCTGAAGCTTGATCTAGAATTGTTGCATGGGTTGAAGTCTATAAAAATTAAAAGAAAAAATAATTTTAAACATCCCCAATCACCTCAGATCCACTAGGTCTATTCCCTCCAAAATCAACATAAAATAGACGTTGTAATAATTCATAGGTAAGTAATGTGACGCCAAATTGTGGACTAGAACGTAAGACACGCGCTAAAAATTTAAAAATTATTTTTTGGTATTTTTTTTAAACCCTAAAATTAAATTTAATTAAGTCAGTATGTTTTCTTCAATAAAAAGTATTTACTTCCTGCTCCTTTCCAAAGAGAACTAGGACCCTCTTCATGCAATAACTAAAAAGAAAATAAAATTATCATTACATGCGTACTAAAATTGTTTAATTATCTCAAGTAAGCACTTTGACAGTTTTTAGTTTTTACCATAAAGTTTTTGGGAAATTAATAAAATAATTATATATTTTGAGAATGGATCTGCACACTAAAAAACTGATAGTGCACAACTTGAACCTGTTCTTTCTTAACCTTTCTAAAACAGTCAATGACACCAGTATAAGTAGTTTGACCAGCTCTAGACGCTACTTGAAGGCGTGTTTTGATAACATCAGCTAAAAATAATTTTAATTAAAAATTTATTAATAAATTTTACCAGGTGTAACGAGTGCAGCGGCAGGCGCCCCAGCAATCAGAGACGAAAGTATTAAAGAAAAGGGACTATTTAAACCCTAAAATTAAAAATATATGCCAATTATCACTCCTAAAAACCTGAGAATCTGCAGTTAAAAGCTTCAAATGTGCATAAAGAGGAAAGAAAATACCCGAAAAAGGAATATCACGTAACCAACAAGCTCTAAAATTTAAAAATAGATAAAAAAATATCAAAAAATTAACCTTGCTCCCTTATAAAGACCCGCAAAACCCAAATCTTTTATAACGTCGAGTAAACGCACTTTAGGACCATTAATTATTTCACCAGCAGTTTGAAGGCGAATTTTAATAATTTCTAATGGATTTGTAACAGCTACCTAAATAATTAATAAAAATAAAATATTACTTTAAATTAATTTCGATGGGTTAACTAAGTTATTTGAAAAAGGAAAAAAATGAAAAAAAATTTTCTGAATTATTTTACAATTAGTTCAATTACTTAAATTACAAATTTGTTAAATAGAAAGAAAACCATAAAACAATTTTTAAATGATTGTTTATTCATTTAAAAAATCGAATGTTTAAAAAAATTTTTAATTAAAAAAATATACCTGACAAGTCCCAGCACTAAAACCAGCCAAAATTTCTCCATATAAAGGAATTCGTCCATCTTTTGTAAATTTATCACGAACAAAATCATTTGCAGTTAATTTAATTGCTTTTTCTGGCGCAACCCCCATAATTTGAGGTAACAGGCCACGATAAAAACCAAGAAAACCTTCAAATTTTAGTATTTTTTTGAAGCAGTCATAGCTGAAATATTTAAATAAAAAAGAATATTACTATAAAAGAAAGAGTCATTCCTGTACGGTCCCAAGGACGACTCTTAAGAACTTATCGAAAATTAAAAATAACAAAAAAATTTCAGTAAATCATTTAAAGAAGCTAGAAAACGAAAAAAGAACCTATTTTTGTACATAACCTCCCCAAGATAAGATCCAGTACGTTGATTTTGCATACGTGTCTTCACCAAATCAATAGGATATACGGCTGTTGCACCCAATATTCCTCCAATTGCACCAAGAGAAAATCGATAAATACTTTCCAAAAGCTTTAAAATAAATTTTAAAAAAGCTTAAAAATTAAAGAAATACCGCAACAAAAAATCCACGGTCTTCTTTATTTTCTACAGCTTTAACATTTGTTATACGAAAGATTTGAGATACTCTTTTAAGTCGCTCAGGATCAATTTTATCCAAATCAGCCAAGTCAATTGCACGAGTACCTGGGTGATTGAGTTCTGCCAAACGGAAGAGAATTTCTACCTTAACGTATAAAATATTTTTAAGCAAAATTCAAAATATTTTTAGTGAAATTGCTTCAAACGTCATACAAAGACATTTGAATTTTTAAAGAAATTAACCTCATACGGAGTAATCTGAGCATACGCTTGAGTCGCTTGAAGAAATTCTTCTCTCGTAACCATCAATCCAATATTTCCACGTGAAATACTCATATAAATACGTTTCATTAACTCCATTTTTGCAAGCAAAGAATTAAAAGCTTGGTAGAAGGGAAAGCGAACCTATAAATAGAACAGAATGTTAATGAGTACAAACGGGGCAAATTGACAGAATATCCAGAGAATGGATGTTTTATAAAAAGCAAACTTTATGTGCACTACTCCCTCCACCAGCAACTGCAATCAAATTTTGTCTAGAAAAATCAGTAAGTAAATGGCCTTTCACAGTAGTCATAATTGTAAAAAAATCATTTGCTGATATACTTCCATCATTTTCCTTGTCAAAACTAAAGAAAAAGTTTATCTTACTTTCAAAGTAAAACCTTTTAAATGCTTGTACTCCTTGTTCTTCGTAGAAATCATGAAGTAGCTGACAAAAGGCATGATAGCCTATTGATCGTTGCTTCTTTCTGAACAAAAATTTTTGATATTGATGTAAGCAAGAATTATAAAAGTGAAGAGCTCGTGTACCAAAGATAAAAGGCAAGAGGATAAAAGGTGTCATAAGGATAAAAGCCCCACCCAAAACGGCACATAAAACAAAGAATGTCCCGTATAAATTAATGACAATAACATACTATGAAATGTGCAGAAAATAGAAAAATATCAAAAAGGGAGAAAAAAAAATTGAAAATTTCAGTTTATAAACTGCATATTAATATAAGATTAAAATTTATTTAAAAACTTACGCTCCAAAATATTTTTTAATGAATTCACAATCGAAATCAAAATCAAGTTGCATCAAAGGCGTTGTGTGGCGAATCACCTTTTAAAGATTTAATAATTTAAAAATATTCTTAAATACCTTTTCAAATTCATCAGCCGTAATAGATTCAGAAGCATTATTATCAAAAATTTCAAAGGCAGTTAAATAAAGCGCATCGGGAGAACAAAGTGTCGCTTAAAATATAAAAATTTATTTACTATGAAAAATTAAAAATAAAATATAGTTAGGAAAATTCTCGATTAGAATATAAATTTTTGGGGCTTTAAGAATAAGAAAATACCCTCAAATGCAAAAAATTCTTCAAAAGAAATAATCCCATCCTTCGAAGTATCAGCAGCACTAGCCAAAAGACGAACAGTTTCGCGATTGTAATTTTCATCGTTATACAGATTAAGATATCTGATAAAAAATTTTAATAAGGCAAAATCGAACTTCCGGGATCCCGAGGATAAATTCCGAAAAAATCGCGGATCCTGAAACTCAAAAAAATCCGGGATTTCGGGATCCCGTCCCGTGCCGGTCTCTAATAAAAAGAAACAAAAGGACAAAACACAAGAGGATTTTAAAAAATTTAAAAAAAAGAATGAGAAAATAACACCGTTTGAGCTTCAAGTCTCTACTAAAAATTAGTTAATAAATTTTGGATAAGGAAAAAATCAATGTGTGAAAAAAATTTCCTTTTTTTAATCAAATACCTCTGAACAAAATCATTAGCTGTCATAAACTTCCTTCCAGACTTTTCAACACTTGCATATTTGTTGAATATAGCAAGTAATTCATCAGGATTAGCACGTGCAATAGAGCCAGGCAATGCACTCACCTTTAATTTTAAATTTAAAAGAAATTATTTTAAAAACCTGTTGATGTTTTTCATAACATTTCGCAGTCTGAACCATTTTAGAAGATAAAAATTTTGATGAAAGAAAAGGCAAATTAAATGGATAAATGGATGCAGCATTCTTATTATTATTTTCCATTTTTAGATATAGAAAAAAATAATTATAAAAAAGTTAACTGAAAGTTAAAAATGGATATTTAAAGAGACAAGAAGTAAAATTGATTAATAAAAAAAGGCAGAATATGGGGGGGGGGGGGGCATTGATGGAACAACCTTCACTGTAGTTTAAGTAGTTTGAACTTCAGTGCACAAAATCGAAAATCCGAGATCCCATAACGGGATCTTTTCAAAGGGTATCTCAAAACCTTTCGAAAATCTCAAACGATGGAAAGAACCAGCTGGCAGCCAAAGAGAATAGACTCAAATGTCAATGAAATTATTATACTCAAATGTCAAAAACAAGCCAAGTAGTCGCAAGCCGTTTAATCGCCAGAATTGTTATTTCGGATAAAATAGTACAAAAAAATGCACGAATAGAAGCTCTGCGATTTTTCGGCCGTTTAAATTCGATAATTCGCGACTAAACGGGTGCTCTCTAGAAAAATCTTTTCATTTGACTTTAATCTTTTCATTTTTAAGTTATTCTAATTTCTTGACGTCATTTAGGCAATTGTAACCTTTTTTAAATTTTTTATTAAGATTTTGATGAAAGAAATGACCGACGAACAGCTTAGTCTTCTTAAGCAATTTGTTCTAATGTGTAAGGCTAATCCGGGACTTTTACATCAGCCGCAATATGCCTTTTATCGTGAATATTTGGAAAGGTATTGGTTTTTGAATGAAATTATAATTAACTTAAAATTTAGTTTGGGAGCTAAAATTCCATCGGGAACTGAGTCTGGAGGTTCAAAATCGGAATCTTTTAAGAGACAACCTGAGGAGACTTTTGAAGAAAATCAAGAGGAGGAGAAGGAATCTGATTTGCCACTTCCTGAATTAGATAATTCTGGTGTTATTGAAGACAAGACTTGTGGGGAAGAATATGCGATGGGTGACCCAGAGAAGGAAGTTAGTGATGAAGATATGGAGAAAGCACAGGAACATCGTCAGGCAGCGCAGATGGCTTTTGCTGACGGTATTTTTCTTTATGTTTAGTCATCTACCCCAAGTTTTTACGTGGTAATTATAAAGTCTAAATATACCAAGGACTTAGGCAAAATAAAACGTGAATACCTATTATCAAGTTTCTGTGTGTATTTTTTAGTTTTTTAAGTTTTAGATCACACCCATTCTTGAGAACTTTGTTTTTATTTTTAAGGTGACTATGAGAAATCTGTTGAGGAATATACCAAAGCAATTGAATTCAATCCTGGTTTAGCCATTTTACATGCTAAAAGGGCAAGGTATTTTTTTAACTTTAATATTTTAACTATGTATATCTCTTCTTTAGTACTTTACTTAAAATGTCAAAGCTTTCTGCGGCTATAAAAGATTGTGACAAGGCTATTGCTATTAATCCTGACTCGGCTGCTGCTTATAAATTCCGTGGAAGGGCTCATCGGTTTTTTTTGTTTTCGGTTATTTTAAATATTTTTTTAGTTTATTGGGTAATTGGGCAGAGGCACATCTTGATTTGGCTCTTTCTTGCAAATTGGATTACGACGACCAGGCGAATGAATGGTTGAAAGAAGTAGAGCCAAATGTATGTTCTTATAATTATCAAGAGTTTTCTTTGGATAATTTAACTTTTGAAATGGAAAATTCTCTTGAACAAAAATTAAAAATAAAATTTGTTAGTTATTTCCAAATTTGTTTTTGTTAGAATAGGGCAGAGGGTGAAGAGATTTTCTATAAAATTTATTATGTTGGGTTAAAAAGATAATTTTTAGGCAAAGAAGCTTCACGATTATCAACGTGCTAAGGAACGCCTCGCTGATGAGAAAGTGACTCGTGCTCGCCAAGAACGCGTTCGTCGAGCTCAAGAGGAGAATAAGCGAGCGGCCGAAGAGAATAAGCAGAAATATGGGGAGGATAGTGATGATTTTGATGGGGTGAGTTTGAATATTGGAATTGATCTAAAATATTTTTAATATTCAGGACGTTCCTCCAGGACTTTTTGAATCATTCAAGAACAATCCTGAATTAGCCGTAAAAATTTTTAAAGATTATCTTTTAATTTTTCAAAATTAAATTCAGAAAATTATGGAAGAAATCAAGAAGGATCCGTCAAAAATTGGTCAGTATTTGAATGATCCAAATGTTCTTAATTTGATCGGAATGATGGGTGGCAAAGGTGGTGGCGGGTTTAACCCGAATGCTTTTAATATGCCTACTGGTAAATAAAATTGTTTTTTTAATTAAGATTTCTTAATTTTAGGAGACACTGATGACTCGACCCCATTTAAACAAGAACCTCCAAAAAAGGCGCCAGAGCCTGATCTTGATTAAAGAATTAAAGAGAAGATAATTATAAAATTTTGAGAAGAGGCCAATTTGTTGGAATTAAAACAAAAATATAATTGACTCTAAATATATTTTGATTATTTAATTTATATCGTGACTTTTATCTTATTTTGAGTAAATTGGCCTTATAGGCAAATAGTGTTTGGATCTTTAATATAATTTTATTAGACAAATTTTTTAGAATTCGATTTAAAGGGAATTTTTAAAATCCTTTTTCTTGGTTTGAATTGATGAATGGTTATGTTAATCTGGATCTAAATGTCTAGTCATGCATTTTTTAGATAATTATTCAAAGTCAAGATAAAGGATGGGTTGCAAAAAATATAGGTATTCTCTTATTAATCCCGAAAATGATTGATATCCCCCAACCTCTCCGGAAAATTTGGCTCCATGCTCAAATTTTTAACTGACCCGACCCGATACCTGGACTTTTTTTCGACCCGATCCGAAGAAAATTTTGAAACCCCGACCCGACATTTTTCTCAACCTGTTTTTTTCCTTGCAAAGTTTAAAAATGTTCTTAATTTTGGCGTAATGCAAAAAAGGATTTTTGATGAATTTTTGTCCTACAGATTAATTTTTTTTCGTTTTTTTCTTGTTTTTTATTTGGTTCTCTCTTGTTTTTCAACAATGTTTTTATAAATTTTCTAAAATAACCTAAATGGAATTGTAGGAGAAATCATAAATTTTGCTCTAAATTTTAATTTAATAAATAATGGCTTCTTATGCTTCATCATCAAACTCTGGAACGATTGACGAGAAATGTCATACATTATTCGATGGCGTTAGGAAGATTAATGTAAATTTAATTTTCTATAATCTAAACGTTTTTATTCTTTTCAGCAACTTTCTGAGGCTCTTGTTGCTCAAAATGCTTATTTAATTAAGCGTGTTCAAGACTTGGAGGAGCGTTTACAACAAGAACTTGACCACAAGAAGCGTTTGCATCAAGAGCTTGAAATTAGTCGTTGGGCAACACATCGTGAATGATGGATGATGAAAATAAAAGAAAAAAAAATATTTTAACAGCCAATAATAAAATATATTATTCTACATACATTTTACTATCAATTTTTTAATATTTTAATTTTACATTTTTTTTGAAAATGGCTGATTGATGCATACATATAAATCTTAACTTTTACTAATTTTTGTTTGATTTTTAGTTTTATTTTCCTTTGAATATCTTTTAATAATTTATTGTTGTTTGAGAGTTTTAAATTAGGCCTTGAAGACCTGTATAAAATCTTAGTTTTATAGCAAACAAATAGAGCCAATACACAAATAGGGGCAAAAGCTGGGTTAGGCCAAAAGATTCCAACACAATTGGCCAAGGGTTTAGTACCAACAAATTAATTCAGCAAAAGCTTTTACTTGGATTAGGCCAAAAGAATCCAACGCAGTTGGCCGAGGGATTTGACCACCAAATAAATTAAAACCAAACAAATAGTAAAAAGTTTATTTCACACAATTAAATAGTCCAACAAATAGATTAATGATAAGGCCACAAATAGGAACCAGAGCTATAAAACCAAGAGAAGCAAGCCAAACAGAATGAGCTAATGAGAAAGCTAGCCAACCCAGAAAGAAGCTAATTGGGGTTTGGGGTGGGAGATTATATAGGCCAGAAAAATAGGCGGGTAGACAGAAAAATATTTCGATCATTAAAGGCATAATAGGAACGAGTAAATAAAAATGCACATATTTGAATGATACAAAAGAGTGGAAAATAAAGTTAAGTTTTAGAACAAAAGGACTAAAAATGTAAATAGGTTTTGAATAGATGTTTACAGCAAAAATGGTTTTTAGCCAGGTGAAAGTCCGAAAAAGGAATTTGCAAAAAGTGATGATTAATTTAGAAATAAATTAAAATATATTTATTTTATTTTCCTCATCTTTTGTCGCTTCGCGACATTCCCGCCCGCGTCTAAAGTTTCATCCTCGATTTCTTTTTTCCATCTTTCAAGTATTTTCCTTCTTTTCTTCGGCACTTCATCCATTGCACATTTTCTGCTCTCTTTCCATGCATGTGCCCAACCATCCATAACATTAGCAAAGATGGCGAGGAAGGTCCAATTGGGGTTGAACGCAACAGCGGAGGCGAAAAGCGTTAAGGAAAGCCAAGAGGGAGTTTTCAGAGTCAATTCCTTTTCCATCTTTTCATTCGTTTTACATTTCCAGAGTTTATTGGGTGCGCGAATAAACATCCTCAAAGCATCTCTAGCGCTATTCAGAATCATAGCAAAAGCGGCAACGACACTCATGAACATTTTTACATCCATCCACGAGCAGCAAAAGGCATAGAATTCTGGTGGTTCCAGCTTTTCCCGTTGGCATTTTTTGTGGTAGGCGTGCACTTCCCGTTTTAGCTTACCATTTCTGGCAATCAATTTTCGATTAGCCTTCTGAAGGGCATTGACACGAGTCTCTTTCAGAATTCTTTTTCCATGATCATCCACAATCCTCTGATTAGATTCATCCAGCAGACGTTTTAATCGTTTAGCTTTTTTGGATTCATCCTCGGCCTTTTTGCGAGCCAACATAAGTTCGGACATCAATTTCACTATCTTTTTATCCTTCTCTTGGAGAGCTTTCGTCTTTTCATCCAGCAGCTTTTTTGATTCAAACATCCCAGCCGGCTTCGAACAATGAACATAGCTTTTTCGCATAGGTTCCAACATTTGAGTTTTTGGTATACGTGAATAGCAAACCATGAAGTGGTGCTTTCCGCGACACTTACTGCAACGTCGATTATTTTGGCAATCAAAGGTTAGATGGTCATCCCTCAGGCAGTTAAGGCAACGGTGCTGCTTAAGTAATTTATATTTCCTCGCTTTGGGGTTGCTATATTTTGTACAATGGCTCGGAAGGTGGTTCCCTCTACATAATGAGCACTTCAGGCAACGGTTCTGTTCCACCACTCGATCCTTATTAACCATAGGCGGCTGTGGCGTAGGTGACGGATTGTCCGGGGGCCTTGGAATAGGCGGCTCAAGCGTTTTCCCATTTTGGTCTCCTAGATCGTCTGTACAGTTATCTGACGATTTGTTCATTTCAGATGGGCGAGAACTGTCTGCATTCTCCTCTGACGCATTTTCCGGGAGCCGGCCAAGATCCTCCATAATTAGTCCAATTGAAACCGCCATTTGTCGGGCAAATTCGCATTGGGTAACAAAGTGCTGTTGAGAGAGTAGGAAGTCTGGCATGAACTCATAAGAAGGTTCGTTAGATGGAAAATCCTTATATAAATCTTCTTCAGCTAATTTCTTTAAACCATGCAGTTTAGACATATGTTTGTTCCATTGGAGGTCGAGCTTCTCTATTTTAGAAATAGTTTCCAACAAATGTGATTTTTCAACATCTAGCAAACGGTAGGTGTTAGCGTCTTGTTCCATCTTCATTATACGCATAGCCTCTACAGAATAGAATTGCATCTCGCTCAGAGCGACCAACAAATTAGTTCGGATTTTTACTGACATTATCGTCACACAGATAAGCGGCAAGTGGCTTCAAAAGTTGCAACAGTAGATAAAGTAAGATTCCAACAATAGATCAAAAGTTTAGGCAATTGGCTCTTCTTGAATTGAACACAGGCTGCTCGGGGTTGTGATGCTGCACGAATGCTAGACCACAAGGTTCCCGGCCGTTGCACCAAAAAATTATATAGCAAACAAATAGAGCCAATACACAAATAGGGGCAAAAGCTGGGTTAGGCCAAAAGATTCCAACACAATTGGCCAAGGGTTTAGTACCAACAAATTAATTCAGCAAAAGCTTTTACTTGGATTAGGCCAAAAGAATCCAACGCAGTTGGCCGAGGGATTTGACCACCAAATAAATTAAAACCAAACAAATAGTAAAAAGTTTATTTCACACAATTAAATAGTCCAACAAATAGATTAATGATAAGGCCACAAATAGGAACCAGAGCTATAAAACCAAGAGAAGCAAGCCAAACAGAATGAGCTAATGAGAAAGCTAGCCAACCCAGAAAGAAGCTAATTGGGGTTTGGGGTGGGAGATTATATAGGCCAGAAAAATAGGCGGGTAGACAGAAAAATATTTCGATCATTAAAGGCATAATAGGAACGAGTAAATAAAAATGCACATATTTGAATGATACAAAAGAGTGGAAAATAAAGTTAAGTTTTAGAACAAAAGGACTAAAAATGTAAATAGGTTTTGAATAGATGTTTACAGCAAAAATGGTTTTTAGCCAGGTGAAAGTCCGAAAAAGGAATTTGCAAAAAGTGATGATTAATTTAGAAATAAATTAAAATATATTTATTTTATTTTCCTCATCTTTTGTCGCTTCGCGACATTCCCGCCCGCGTCTAAAGTTTCATCCTCGATTTCTTTTTTCCATCTTTCAAGTATTTTCCTTCTTTTCTTCGGCACTTCATCCATTGCACATTTTCTGCTCTCTTTCCATGCATGTGCCCAACCATCCATAACATTAGCAAAGATGGCGAGGAAGGTCCAATTGGGGTTGAACGCAACAGCGGAGGCGAAAAGCGTTAAGGAAAGCCAAGAGGGAGTTTTCAGAGTCAATTCCTTTTCCATCTTTTCATTCGTTTTACATTTCCAGAGTTTATTGGGTGCGCGAATAAACATCCTCAAAGCATCTCTAGCGCTATTCAGAATCATAGCAAAAGCGGCAACGACACTCATGAACATTTTTACATCCATCCACGAGCAGCAAAAGGCATAGAATTCTGGTGGTTCCAGCTTTTCCCGTTGGCATTTTTTGTGGTAGGCGTGCACTTCCCGTTTTAGCTTACCATTTCTGGCAATCAATTTTCGATTAGCCTTCTGAAGGGCATTGACACGAGTCTCTTTCAGAATTCTTTTTCCATGATCATCCACAATCCTCTGATTAGATTCATCCAGCAGACGTTTTAATCGTTTAGCTTTTTTGGATTCATCCTCGGCCTTTTTGCGAGCCAACATAAGTTCGGACATCAATTTCACTATCTTTTTATCCTTCTCTTGGAGAGCTTTCGTCTTTTCATCCAGCAGCTTTTTTGATTCAAACATCCCAGCCGGCTTCGAACAATGAACATAGCTTTTTCGCATAGGTTCCAACATTTGAGTTTTTGGTATACGTGAATAGCAAACCATGAAGTGGTGCTTTCCGCGACACTTACTGCAACGTCGATTATTTTGGCAATCAAAGGTTAGATGGTCATCCCTCAGGCAGTTAAGGCAACGGTGCTGCTTAAGTAATTTATATTTCCTCGCTTTGGGGTTGCTATATTTTGTACAATGGCTCGGAAGGTGGTTCCCTCTACATAATGAGCACTTCAGGCAACGGTTCTGTTCCACCACTCGATCCTTATTAACCATAGGCGGCTGTGGCGTAGGTGACGGATTGTCCGGGGGCCTTGGAATAGGCGGCTCAAGCGTTTTCCCATTTTGGTCTCCTAGATCGTCTGTACAGTTATCTGACGATTTGTTCATTTCAGATGGGCGAGAACTGTCTGCATTCTCCTCTGACGCATTTTCCGGGAGCCGGCCAAGATCCTCCATAATTAGTCCAATTGAAACCGCCATTTGTCGGGCAAATTCGCATTGGGTAACAAAGTGCTGTTGAGAGAGTAGGAAGTCTGGCATGAACTCATAAGAAGGTTCGTTAGATGGAAAATCCTTATATAAATCTTCTTCAGCTAATTTCTTTAAACCATGCAGTTTAGACATATGTTTGTTCCATTGGAGGTCGAGCTTCTCTATTTTAGAAATAGTTTCCAACAAATGTGATTTTTCAACATCTAGCAAACGGTAGGTGTTAGCGTCTTGTTCCATCTTCATTATACGCATAGCCTCTACAGAATAGAATTGCATCTCGCTCAGAGCGACCAACAAATTAGTTCGGATTTTTACTGACATTATCGTCACACAGATAAGCGGCAAGTGGCTTCAAAAGTTGCAACAGTAGATAAAGTAAGATTCCAACAATAGATCAAAAGTTTAGGCAATTGGCTCTTCTTGAATTGAACACAGGCTGCTCGGGGTTGTGATGCTGCACGAATGCTAGACCACAAGGTTCCCGGCCGTTGCACCAAAAAATTATATAGCAAACAAATAGAGCCAATACACAAATAGGGGCAAAAGCTGGGTTAGGCCAAAAGATTCCAACACAATTGGCCAAGGGTTTAGTACCAACAAATTAATTCAGCAAAAGCTTTTACTTGGATTAGGCCAAAAGAATCCAACGCAGTTGGCCGAGGGATTTGACCACCAAATAAATTAAAACCAAACAAATAGTAAAAAGTTTATTTCACACAATTAAATAGTCCAACAAATAGATTAATGATAAGGCCACAAATAGGAACCAGAGCTATAAAACCAAGAGAAGCAAGCCAAACAGAATGAGCTAATGAGAAAGCTAGCCAACCCAGAAAGAAGCTAATTGGGGTTTGGGGTGGGAGATTATATAGGCCAGAAAAATAGGCGGGTAGACAGAAAAATATTTCGATCATTAAAGGCATAATAGGAACGAGTAAATAAAAATGCACATATTTGAATGATACAAAAGAGTGGAAAATAAAGTTAAGTTTTAGAACAAAAGGACTAAAAATGTAAATAGGTTTTGAATAGATGTTTACAGCAAAAATGGTTTTTAGCCAGGTGAAAGTCCGAAAAAGGAATTTGCAAAAAGTGATGATTAATTTAGAAATAAATTAAAATATATTTATTTTATTTTCCTCATCTTTTGTCGCTTCGCGACAAGTTTCGGTTTCTGTATAGAGGGGGTGTGCCGAAACTTATTTTTAAAGGCGAAAGTCAATTTAAAAAGGAAACATGAAAGGCGAAAGTCCGGCGCAATTTTGGCGAAAGATGGAAAGGCGAAAGGCACACCTCTTCTGTATAGGCATTTAAGAATCATGTTTTTGGCCTTTTGACTTACAATTAAACACGTAAATTCATTAATTTTGCAGGAATCATAATATAAACTTTAAAATTTTAATTAATGATGATTTCTTATGCCTCCTCAATTAATTCCGTCACCATCGATGAAAAGCGTGTTATGGTATCCAATGGTGTTAGAAGGGTTAGCGTAAGTTTTTATTTATAAATGACATAAAATTTTTTACATTCTTTTTAAGTTTGCACAAGATTCTCCAACTTATACCAACAACAATTCTCAATTTATTGCTTCACCGATTTTGGCTGGTTACCCGCCTATTTGGCAGCCTCCAGCTAACGGCCCTGCTATTTGTCGTATTTGCTATAGTACTGAAAATTCTGGACCTAAAACTGGAGAACCTTTAATTTCTCCTTGTCATTGTAAAGGAACTATGGGACTTTATCATCGAACTTGTTTAGGCAAATGGTTGGCTGTTTCTAATAAGTTTGTTTTTTTCTCAATTATTTTAATAGTATCTGGTTAATAAGCTATTATTTTTTTATACTCGTTATGTTTTTTAATTTTACAATGATCTTTAAAAAACCTATTAACCTTTAGATAGATTTTTATTAAGGAAATACATATTTCGAGATCTCTTACCGATTTAAAAAATTTTTTACCAACCCTTGGAAATTTTTTAATTTTTTCAAAAAATTTATCTTTCTCGATTCAAATTTTCTAAAATAGAAAAATTCTAAAATTGTTCAAATACAACAAAACTTTTTTGTAAATACATATCCTCTTTTTAATTTTTAAAAATCGAAAATTTTTTTTCAAATTATTTTTTTCATTTTTCAAAGGACTTGCTGTGAAATTTGTCAATTTCCTTTTCAAATTAAACGGTTTTTTTAAAAATTAATTTCAATTTTTATTTCAATTTTTAAGGACTAAACGTTCAATTTGGGAATATTTAAAAGATGAAGATGCTCGTTTAGCTAGACGAAATTTAATTTTGGACTTCCTTTGCTTTTTAATAATAACTCCTTTAGTTATTGTTAGTTCAACAGTATGCACAATATCTTCAGCACATTTAATTAGAGAAGAGAATGAAAACCGTACTCAAAGCACTTTGGGAATTTCTGGAGAATTGAGATTTGAAATTGCTATAGGTTTTTTTAAATTTAATCCGTCAAAATGTTGTTTTGAATTTAGAAAATTCTATCTTAAAAACGTATCACGGTAATATTGAACCGGACAGACCCCTTTTTTCCTCCCCAATTTTTCCTCTATATTTTTGCAAATCCAAATTTCCTTTCTAATTTTTGCCTACTATAAAACAAAAAGGATTATTTTTTATATTTTATTTCCCATCCTTCCTCCCTAAATTAGGGAGGAAAAAAGGTGGCCTGTCCGGTTCAATATTACCCGTATCATATTTGAAAGATGAATACTTTATAGAAGCCCTTCTTGAATCACAAAACTTTTTATTTTGTTTGTAAATTTTCTTTTTTTAGTCTCCCGAAAATAACCCTTAGAGACTACCTTTGATGTGAAATTTAAAGGAAAAAACTTTTTTTTGGATTTAAAAAAATTCGACAATTATTAAAAAAACATTTTATTCAATTTATTTTAGGTCTTCTATTTCTCAGTGCTGTGCTCGTTACCGCCTTTTGCATTTGGTTGGGAGTTACAGTTGCTTTTCATACAAAAGCGCTAAGGAATTGGCAAGCTACACATTGGGTTTGTTATTTTTATAAATAATTTTTAATTTTCTTTTTATTTTTTAAGGACTACAAAGTAGTAGATCAACTTAGTTTGGAAGAGTCATTGCTAATTAATGGTTTTGATGGAAGATAGGCTTTTAATACATTTAATTTTTAATTCTAAAAATATATTTATTTTATTAGTATTTTTCTCTTCATTTTATTTTTTTGGAATTGAAATTTTTGTATAACAAATTAAACGGTTCTAATGACTACTCCGGGGTTCTCTCTCTATTCCCTCACACTTTCCTCTAAAACATCCGGAAAGAGAACGAAATAAAAAACAATTTTAAATTTTGATTTTCTTTAGACAAAGAAAAGAGAGAGAATATTTAAGAGAGACATTTCCGGGGCAGACAAAATTTAAATTTCAATATTCAAAAATAAAATGAAGAGTTAAATATACATAATTTATTTACTCATTAACTCCTTCAAAATATTTCCTGTTAAATTTAAAATGTGACAAAATGTTACAAATTAATGACTAGTATTTTTTATTTTTCCTTTAAAAGAGATGGGACTCCCTCAATCCTAATCTTACCCTTTCCTTAACCCTGTATTTCATGTACTATATTTTTTGTATTATCTACACTATTTTCTATTTAAATATTTTAATTTATTTTGAGTTTAAAAATAGTAATAAAATAATTTCTAAAATTAGTTTATTTTTTGTGGTGGAAGGGTTAAAAGACTTACCCTCACCAATTTATTTACACATACTTTTAATAGAATATATATTACGACTTATTTAATACAATATATCTACATATCACCTATCAATTACGTTTTATTTATTTTCTTAGTTGCTGGGATCCGAATTTTCATCATCTTTATTGCTTTCTTTGCTAGATTTGATTTCCGATTTTCCAGCTTTTGGCTCTTTAGTAGGTTTTCCTTTTGCCTCTTCCTTCATTTCTTCATCCTCCTCATCATTATCAGCGTCTTCAAGTGATAAGGCTCCTAAAATTAAATAAAAAAATTTTTCTAAAAATTTTAGATTTATTAAGATAGTTTGGTACATCTAATATTCCGATTTTTCTATTAAAACGAGGGAAGGAACCATCATTTCTTTAAAAGTCCTCAAACAATTTCCCCCACCTTCAACTTTTGAAGAGAATCCTTCTTCGGGTTGATCAATCATCGAATCTTTAGCCTCCAATCCTCCTGCATGAGCACCGCCTTTCTTCTTCTTCTCCTTCGTTTTATCTTTGGATTGATCAACTAGAAACAATTTTATTAATTTTTCTATTATTTTCTCGAAAATTACCTTTATCTTTTGAAGAGATTTTTTCTTCAGGCCGACCCTTAACCTCCAATCCAACAGCAACTTTCTTCTTTTCCTTCTTTGCTTGAAGGGCAGCTTCTTTCTTTTCTTTCTTCATTCTCTTCATTTCTTCTTGTTCAAATTTTTCATCTTCAATAATCATAATAGAATCTTTAGCCATCAATCCTGCTGCTATAGGCGGGCGAGGAACAACTTTTTTCGTTATCTTCTTGATTTGAACAATTTTCTTTCCTTTAGCTTGCCCAGGCATTTCCCCTTTTTTAGCTTGACCAGGTTTTTGTAAAACTTCGACCTGCTTTCCCTTTGCCGAAATTTTTTTATTTGACTTTTCAAATGCTGGATCTGTTATATTCTCAGCCAACATATCGTCCGTTTTTGGAACTGTTCCATCACCAGATGCTTAAATTTAAAAGAAAATTATTTTAGGTTTTAAGTCACTAGTACAGTAATCAAAGTGACTAGGGGGACTTTGTTTATTCTATTGTTTTAGAAGGAATTTCTTTCGCTGTGGCCGTTTATTTTCAAGAACAAGTGTAAGAACCAATTATATATTTGGGGGTTATGAAAAGAATGGACAGAATGAACGCTTTTTTTAAACAAAATTAATTTACTTGCTAACGATCCATGAAGACTAAGACTCGGCCCCTCAATACTATTGAATCTCATTTTCTTCATTTTTTTCGGGTCAGCTTTTTTGATAAACGAATTTGTCTCTTCCGATGTTTTATCAGCCTTTTGATGTTGACCAACTCCCGCAACAACATCATTAACCACTTTTGATATTTTTTGTTCTGGCGGTTTAGCAGGAGGTGCAGTCGGCGGTTTAGCTGGCTGGTGATGTTTTTCTGCCGCTTTTGACTTTTTATCCTTTTCAGCCTGTGTGATTCTTATGATGGCGGAATCTTTCTTTATTGTAGGACCTTTTGAGCCTTTAAAAATGAAACAAAATTTATAAATCAGTCCTCTTTGTGATTACCCTTAGCCCTCAACTTCTTTGACATTCCCTCCTCTTTATGCTAAAAATAAATTTTTGAAGAAGTTTTTGGACAATAAAAATACTCACCGGCTTCTTTTTAGAGCAAAACATCATCATTAGAGAGCCAGAAACGAAGAAGAGTAGAATAAACAGAATGAAAGGATGAATATTGCCATCCATTTGAGATACTTGTGATATGTGAACGTTTGAAGAGAACAAATTTTGTGAAGATTTTAAATATTTTGGATTGATACTTTTATACTAGGCTAAAAACAGGGTTTAGGCGGGAGAAGAATAATGTAAAGATAAAAGTTAATAATTTTGTTAATTCGAGGGGATGAAGGTTCTATAGTAATTGTTTTTTATTTGAGGGAATGATTTTATTTCCTTCAAGTAGGGTAGTTTCTGGTCCCTCATTATTTTACAAAAAATGCCTCACGAGAGCAATTGGAGAGGTGAAAGTTCAAAAAAATATTGAAAAAGATTAAGCCTTAATTCTAAACTTAAACTAAAGAAAAATTTAAATACAAAAAAAACATTTAATGAAAAAATACAAAAAAAAACAAAAGAAAATGTTAATATTAAATGAAAAAAGTTAAAAAATTTTTTAATTCAAATTTTGTTAACTTCAATAATCCAATTCCTCATTAATTTCAAATTCTTTCAATTCTTCTTTACTCCATTCATTTTTTCTTATATAATCGTAAAGTTGAGGCTTAAAAATTAAATAATTAAAAAAATATTTTGCTTATAAAAATACCTCTCCAAACAATTTAGTTAAAAGAGTCCAACTAGCCATAAAACGCCCGGGATTGGCTACACAAATTTTTATTTGCTCTTTATAATTTTCTGGCACTTTAACTTCTTCCATCTTTTTTTGAATAATTTTCTTATAAAAATTATTATTAGTTGGCGGCCCACTAGGCAAAAATTCTCCACGAAAAAGTTTAGCGACATTTGGACATAAAGAAGGTTGTTGTTGGTGTGTTGATTTATAATTTAATAAAGCTTCATTTTCCCTTTTTTGAAAATTTTTGGTTAATATAGGATTAGTTAAAGATGTTGTTAGTTGGTTATTTGTTTGTTGTTGTATTTCTTTTTTGTAGTTTTGTGTTTTATATGTTGTGTTGCTCTGTAAATTTTTAAAATTTGAATTAAGGAGTTTTAGTAAATTTAATAATATTCTCAAATTTATGTACTTTACCCCCCTCAACCATTTCCCTCTAAAATCTAAGTATTAAAAATTTACTTCATAATAACTCTGACAATGAGCTACACCATCTTGACTGACATAACATTTATTTTGGAATCTTACATTTGTTGTATTACTAGTAAATTTTGAATGTGAAGAAGACATTTTGTTAAATTAAAAAAAGATTTTTAAAAATAATAAATTTGTTAAGTGTAAATAAAGAAAAGGTAATTTCTTTCCATTTTAAATATTTTTTTTAAAGGCGGAACAAAAAAATTTTTAGCCTATTGCCAAAAAATAATCTCCTCCCAAATATTCTCCTTTATTAATTTGCCTTTTCTACAAAGAAAAATTTTTGAAGAAATAAACGGCACTTTTCCCATGGTTGTATAGAGTTTATTTAATAATTACAATGTTTCTATTTTACTGATTGATGTCCTAAAAGAAAAAATTCTTTTCAAATTTTTCTTTTCAAATTTGAATTTCATATTTTTGAAAAAAATTTTGAGAAAAATTTGAAAAAAAAATGTATTTTTTGGTGTAATTAATCAACCACAGGCTATTTATGCACTTATGTAGTACATGTGAAGGAAGAATGTTAAGGACTTCATATTCTTTCAGGTAATATTAACTAGCTGATTTACAAGGATTTACAAGCAACTCTAGACCAGATGTCCTCCCCACTCGGGGCGTGCCACATGTTTAAGTGCTATACAGGGATTAAACTAAAGCAGCCATCAATTACCGAAAGACACTGAGTTTCCCGTTTAAGTGCAAGCCGGGTCTGTTAACAGAATACAAAAATATATTTACTAAAAATTATTTTATCAAATATGACTGATTTAAAAATCAATCAAAAATAAATAAACCTGTACAAGAAAAATAATTTAAAGAGATAAGGAAAGAAACAAATAAACAACAAAAAATAATTTCTTCTTAATTTTTAAATTTAATTCATTTGTTGATTCCCATAATCCAATTCATCGCTTATCTTAAAATTTTTCAGCTCTTCTTTACTCCAATCGCTCTTTTTTATATAATCGTAGAGCTTAGCCTTAATTAAAATTAATATTTAAATTTGTCCCCGTTAGGTACTCAAATTAACTCAAAAATCCGAACATTCCCCACAAATTTTTAAATAAATTTAACAAAATACCTCGCTAAACAAAGAAGCCAAGAGAGTCCAACTCGCCATAAAACGTCCCGGATTGGCTACACAAATCTTTAAAAAAATATTTTTGAAAAATTAAGTTTAAACGATGACAGCAACAAATAAATAAAAGGGGGAAGAATTGAGTAAAACATGAAGGATGAAGGAAAAACAAATTTAACCAGAATTCTATTGCAAAATTAAATTCATAAAATTATCATTTATTCGTTGCTATCACCTCAAAATGATTTTAAAACACAAAATTCTCAAAAAACAAATCCCCCTTACTTGTATTTGCTCTTTATAATGTTCCGGCTCTACATCGATTTTCTTGGGAACTGGCTAAAAAAAGAAAAAATAATTAAATTTTAAAATTAAAAAACAAACCGATGAAATAGTTGGTGGCCCTGTAGGCAATAATTCCCCGCGAAGAAGTTTAGCAACATTTGGACTCAATAAAGGTTGTTGTTGTTGTTGCTGCTCCATAACAATAAAGAATAAATAAATTAGGTAAATATATGCTCTAAAATGTAATTAAGAAAATTTAAGCTGGATAATTAATTAGCCGATATATCGGCTAATTAACAAAAATAAGCAAAAAGAAAAGGAGGAGCGAGACATTAATTCTCTTCAGCGATAAAGAACGATACAGTACCGCCGATTCAGTCTCGAAGCAATATTTTGGACTTTACGCGCATTTATAGAGATGTAACTTTTTGTAGGATTTGGTTAAGTCAACCTTCAGCTAAAATAATCCTTATATCTTGAACTTTGGATTGAATAATTATTAAAATCGAATAAGAATCAAAAAAGTAATAGCCCAAAATATGGCCTCGAGACTGAATCGGCGATACTGAATCGTCCTTTCAAGTAAAGGTCGATTCAGGTCTCCATTTCAGAAGGACGATTCAAAGTAAAGCAAAAATTCCGAATTCAAGATCCTCGGGCGCTTTTAGCCGAATTACTTTTAATGAATCTTTTGTATTTAGGAGCTATTATTTGTTACCTTTTTCTAAACTTTTATATGCCTAAATAATTTTTAGTTAGCTACTTTAAATAAAATTAATGTGTGAATTACGCGGATTTTCTATTCTTCGTCCAAGTGTTGATTTGGAAACTATAGAGGAGGAACCCGATGATTATGTCTCCCAGCATTCACGTAATGCCCGTTCTTTAAAGAATGGCCTTGAGGGTGGGCATTTTCGTGACAACATTCGCCAGAATGTTTATCAACAGGAAAATGGAGGACAAAATAGCCAGACAAATACGATTACTACGTAAGAGATTTTCTTAGAAATGGGCCGGCTTAAATATTAATTTCTTCAAGTTACGCAACTCAAAATTCGGATGGTTTCGACACAAACAGTCTAAATTATCTGAATTGGAATCGAGGTGGAGGGCGTGCCGGCAGCACAAAATCCATAAAGAGTGGCATTAGAAATACTCGATATAGAGGACTTGGATATGGAAGTGGTACAATTGGGACACATATTACTGGTGGAACGTCAACGGCAGGAACATTGAATGGAACGAGATATTTTGGCGATTCTTGGTTTTATAAAATTTAATTTAATCTCCTCATTTGATTTCATTTATTTTAGGAAGTCTTTGGACAAATGGGACCAAAATTATTATTTCAACACGTATGGACCACCGAGGGAAGATCCAATCTCTTTGTATCAATGGAGTAACAGTAAAAATTATGGAGATGCTATACGCCGACATGTTAGTCAATTAGAAAAGGATGAAAAACGGAAAAGACGGTAATGAATAAATTTATTTAAATGTTTCTTCTCTTAACAAAGGGGTTGTTTTTCAATAAAAATTTTTCATTTATTCCCACATTGCAGTATTTGGTACTTTTTCATTAACTGGTCACATATTCTCCCTAGTCTCTGATTAATCTTTTCAAGAGTAATTGGAAAGTAAATGATTAACAGAGAAAGATTAATTTTAAAACTCAAATATTATAGAGGGTGGAATACGGAAAAAATACCAAATAATTAAATGGACAAATTTAATATTTTGGTGAATTTCATGTATTCCGATATAGGTTCGGAAAGATGATTAAAGAAATTCTGTGTATTTAATTTGGGCGTTGAACAAGTTACATAATTAAATATTTTTATCATTTTTTAGTCAGAAAATTTGTTGCCTTCTCTGCTGCTGTTTCCGTTGCTGTTTTTCTTGCAAAAAGTCGCCTCCACCACAAAATCCTCGCCCAACGCTCAAAGGTTGTCGTCAATTGAATTGGAATTAAGTTTTAAAATTAAATTATTATTCCTGAAATGACAAATATTGATCCCATAATTTATTGAATAAGATATTCCAAAATATTTATTTCTCATCCCTCAGGAAATTATTAAATATATCAGTGCTGTTTTTGAAGTTTAGAAAATTGGGTGGTGGGGGGCATTAATTAGAGTTAAAATTAAATTCGGGACAATCCGGAAAAAAGAAATTTGTGGACTATATTTTAATTTTCCATTTTTTGATGGAATAGATTTTACTAGGATTTAACACTCCCTTTATTTTCAATTTATGTCATCTAAAGATCAAATAATGGGCTGATATATTTATTCACAAATATGTTTTAAAATAATTTTAATTTAAGTTTTTACTACATTAATTGATTAAAACATATTTTTCGGTTCGCTCTTTTATTCACTTTTTGAATTTATAAGTTGTGAATAAATTTCTAAATTTTGTTTTATTTTATTATCGATTGGTTATATTCCATATTAACTTCTTTTAACAGTTTACTTTTAAATTTTGAGGAGAATTGTTCAAATATTTTTAAAATAATTCTTTAGGGGTTTTTGAATATTTTTGGATTTTTTGTTGAGTCTGGTAAATTTTATATTTTAGTTTTGCTAATTTATTGGGGTATAACTTTTTTGATTTTATGCCTTTCAGTGACCAAAAGTTTAAATTTCCATTTATTAGTTTTTGATCAAAATCATCCCTCATAAGTAAAAGGGCTGTGATTGATAAAGTAAAATGTCCTATTTTTTGGCCAATTGCCTTTAGAGCCTTAAACGACAAGACTGTAACGTTACCTTTATCAAAAAAATTTTATTTTTCCTAAAATTTTTATTAATTTTTTTTATTTTTTTATTTTTAGAATATTTAAAAATGTTATTTAATTTCTACAAACCTATTCAATTTTGTTTTCCGGCATCTACACGTGGATTGATTTTATTGCTTTCCTTTGCTGTTGTGAGCTCTTTATTTGCCAATTTGCAATTATTTAATTTGGCTGTGCTTTATACAAATCAGGATGAACAAAGGCTTTTTGTTTCGAAGGAACTTTTTGGTGATGGGATTCAAACTAAAGGTTTTTTTTATTTTAAATTATAGGTTTATTTAAGTATTTTTTGTGGTTTTTAAATTTAAAAAATTTTTAGCCTTAATCTCCTTATTTCACACATTAAAATTAGAAAATTTAGTTGGGTAATTCTTTAAAACTTTGTGCACATTTTATTGATTTTTTCGAGACAAAATTCCTTATGACTAACTTTTGAAAATCTAACACTATTATTAGTCATCCATTTAACCCCACATGATTTAAAAAAATCTAACAATTTTCTAACTAATTTCTATCAGATTTTCCTAATTTTATTATTCTTTCAAATTATCAGTTTAAAATATAATTAAATCAATACTTATTATTAGGATAAGAGTAAAATTTAAATTAGTTTCTTGATTCAAGTAAAGACTTTTAAGACTTCTATGAAATCAACTCTTTTTTAAAATTATTTTATTGATTTTTGTTTGTGCCATCTCTTTTCTTTTCCATTTTACCCTTTTTTTTATTTTTTAAGATTACTGATTTTATAAAATCTAACTTTAAAATGTGAAATGCTTTGGGTAGTAGGCTATCTAATTTTAATTTATTGAGAAAATAGCTTTTAAAAATGAATTCTTCCCTATGTGAGTTTTTTTAAATTTTCGGTAATCTTTGGAAGTCGCCTCCCCCTCTAAATTATATATCAAGCAAAAAAGCTCATAATGGTCACGATGGAAAAAAGGGGGGATACTTCCGAAGTATTACTAAATTTTCTTTATGTTTTCTAGTTATTCCTTCGTTTAGTTTATTGTCTGATTTCGTTATTCGAAATATTAAAGTCGATCACTTATATTTCCTTCTTGTCTTTTCTATACTACATCTATCTGAAATTTTATATCAATATTTATTATATTAAATTAGCTTTTCTTGTTCCTTATCATTTTAAAAAATAAGATATATTCAAGTTCTTTGTTAGCCCCCCTCCTCTTTCTTTCAGCAAAATAGAGTGATTTTATTATCTAGATATCCACTTTTCTCAATACCAAAATTAACAAAAAATATAATTTTTATTCTTGAAATGTGTGTAAAAGATTTACACTTGTTAAAATAAGTATATATAGTAATTGACTTTCAATCGCTTTTTTGATATAATGCAATTGTTTTTTGTTTGTGTGGTGTAAAATGAGTGGTAAAAAATAGAAAAAAATAAAAAATGTGGTTAACACAGTTTAAGAATTATTTTTTTAAAAAATAAATTTTTTGGAATGAAATTTTTACGTTTAAATTTTTTGTTATTTTTTAACATATTTTCTTTTAAAGTTTAAAATCCCGTTTCTGTTTAATAATATTTTTTGAATTTTTTTGAGCCAATTTTTAGATTATAAGGCAATAATAAACAATCAAATATTGATTAGGTAGATTAATTAGAAATAAACAAATATTTGGATTTTTAGGTTAGAATTGTGTGTAAATTTCGATGAATATTTAAAAAAATAATTTTTTCTGAGAGAGATGTGCTTCAAATTAAAATTGGGGGATTTTTTAAAAATTTTCAATTATAAAAAACAAAAAAATGAAGCACATCTTCTAGTTAGTGATGTATTTAAAAAAAGAAAATAATTTGTAGAATAGTCAACTTCTTTTGTTATGTAAAATTGATAGAAAATTGTGTGTAGTTCGTTCCCCAGAACCCTTTTAATTTTTTTATCATTTGAGATTTCTTAATGGCCCTATCCATTTTTGAAGGTTTTTAAAAGAAATTGAATTTAGTTTGGTTAAATTTGATTAGAAAAATGTTTAAAAAAAGATTTGTAAGTGAATTTATAAAAATTATTTTTTGTTTTTTAATAAGCAATCATAAGTGACCCAACAAATAAGCATGTAGTCAACAATGAAAGCATTGAGTATGTATTGAAAAGTGCAGTTACTCCATTCTGAAAAATAGGAAATTTATTTTTTAAAATATTTTTCTTAAATATTTTTATTTTTTTCGTAATTTTTAACCAAGAAATTTCTTTCTAAAATAATAGGCTTCCAAAATTCCCTTTTGTCAAAGTTTTACACATTCCATTTTTGTTGGACAATTTATATTTTTTGGGGTAATGTGTTTCAACCCCCAACAGTTTCGAAGAATCCGAAAGTAAAAACAAAAAAATTTTTTTTTGGTTTTTTAAAATTTTTTAGTAAAAATATATTCACATTCGGATTCTCCACTGTTTTGTTTGTGCTAGTATTATTTTGTTCTTCTAATATTTGTTGTTCTGTTGAATTGTCCAACAAAAATGGAGACATTGTGCTTTCTTCATTTATTGTTAAATTATTATTATTATCTCCCCCATTCTCAAATATTTGAGGATTTTCTTGATTATTATTTTCTTTAAATTCTTTATTATTTTCTTCGTCTTTTTGGGATATTTCTGTTATTGTTTCTTCATTTGGAAATGAAATTTCCATTGTATTATTATTTTTTTCATCATTACTAACATTGCATTCATCTGTTGAACAACAGTCAATTGAATAAGTTAATGGTCCTGCTGTTCTGTTTTCGTCGTCAGAAGAAACCTAAATATTTTTGTTTGAAAACTGAATCCTGACTAAGGTAATTTCGGGCTTTTAACTACTCATAAACCCGGGCCTTTATGTTTCGAATCTAAATTACAGGGCAAATTTTAAAAATCCTTCCCAACTGAAAATGACCCTTCTTAAAATCCTTAATATACTCACCCCACAAGTATAATTTATTTCTTGTTGAATTTGTTGTTCAATAGGTTGCATATATCGTGCCAAATCACTTTCACAACTTTTTAATCCAAAAGTCATATTTTTTTGTTCGCCAGTTTGAGGGTCTAATTTTGTTAGAAAACCTTGTAGATTTATACAATTTTTGTCCTAAAAAATTAAAAGATTCTTTTCTATTATTCTTTTTATCTTTTTCACCTCTGCTGGACATTCATATTCTCTTGTTTCTGCTGTTTTATTTATTGTTAATTGTTCTTCTGGACTTTCTGCTTCTGTAATATCTATAGAGGAGAATGTGCATTTAAGTGCTTTATTTGTTCCTATTAATAGAACAAAAAAGGCTGCGAATAATTGGAAGTTCATAATTAAATTTTTGATTTTCTGAAAATCTTGTTGGGAATTTATTAGAATTTTTTAAAAATGAGTGAATTTGTGGGGCGAATCGGAGATGAAGGGGAATTAATAAGTGAGATTTTTTGTGAGGAGTGAAGGGTGGGGGGGGGGGTATTAAAGCTAAACAGACAATTTTTAATTATTTTAAAATTAATTTTTTTATTTTTTTTATATCACAGTTTGGGTAATTAAATCTTTTTAATAATCAATTAATGACTTCCTGAATTATTTCCGGAAATTAACATAGGCGGATTTAGACATCTTCACTTTGGTTAATATGAAATGGGTCATACAATTGGAAATTTGATAATCTTTTTATCAAATTTTTCTATTTAAAAACCAAAAAATTAATTTGAATTAAAAATTTTCTATTCTCTTAATAAAATATTTTCACTGCTTAAGTAAGTCATGTAAATATATAATATTTACTTGAATATTTTTCGAAATAAGTTATTTATTATACAGTAGTCGACATAAAGATAGGGACAAGAGTAATTTAAATGAAAATTAACTATTTTTCGGTCGAAAAATACGTTCTATATATCAATCGAAAGCTCTATTCGTATCTCAGTTGACATGTTTCTGCATTTTTCATGAAGTTGAAAATTGGCCGAGATAATCCGGATCTACCGGATATACCAAATCCCATAGCCTCGGAAAAATTTTTCTGGAAAAATTTAACAAACCCATTTGATAAAGCATATTTTTCTGAGTATTTTCCACAAAACCGTTTAGAAACATCTTTTTCCGGTCCAGAGATATGATTTTTTGAAAATCGCATTTTTCGTCAATTTTTGCAAAAAATTCAATTTTTAAAGGAAAAATGCCATTTTCAAAAAATCATTTCTCTGGTCCGGAAAGAGATATTTTTAAGCGGTTTTGTGGTATATACTCACAAAAATATGCTTTATCAAATGGGTTTGTTAGATTTTTTCCGAAAATTTTTTCCGAGGCTGTGGGATTTGGTATATCCGGTAGATCCGGATTATCTCGGCCAATTTTCAATTTCATGAAAAATGCAGAAACATGTCAATTGAGATATAAATAGAGCTTTCGATTGATATATAGAACGTATTTTTCGGCCGAAAAATAGTTAATTTTTATTTAAATTACTCTTGTCCCTATCTTTATGTCGACGACTGTATATAATCATTCGCGCAGTCTAGTAATATTTAATCGTCTTTTTAAATTTTATTTAAAATTAAAAAAAAACTAAAAGATTATCTTTAAATAAAAGTTCTCCCTCTCTTGTAATAATTAAAAATAAAAAGTTTCATAAAATGGATATATAGAATATTAAATTTAAAATAAATTTGAGATTGGTAAAGAATGAAATGATTTTTTGTTTACTAAGGAATTATCAAAATCTCGTAAATTTCAAAATTATTTGACATTGGAATGTTTTTGAAAAGAGAGGGATTACTAGAACTTTTTTGAAATAAAATTTTCCAACTTTTAAATCTCACAAGAAAAAATTTTGAAATTCGAACAAAATTCTTAACCGGGCTCTTCTTAAATTTATAATAATACGAAGAAATCTTAATTCTTAAATTTATTAAAAAATTATTTAAATGAAATTAATTTTATTTAAATTCTAAATTTATATATAATTAGATTTTTAATTTTTGTTCTTATTTCCTAATTTTATGATAGAAAAAATTTTTTAATTTCTAATTTTGGGCCAAACAATTAAAATAAAGAAAAGAAAACGGTAGCCAATTTTATGTTCATTTATATCTAAAAAGTGATTTGTCACCAACTTGAATTTTCTTTTTTTAAACAAAAATGATTTTTGATTTGACAAAAAAGAAGGGGAGGGAGGAGGAGGACTTGGAAGTTGGTAAAAAAGAGAATTTAGTGGGGGAAACTGATTGATTTAAATTGAAATAATATATATTTTTATATATTTGGATTTGTTTAGAGTTTGTCAAATTGGAGAGAAGCAAAAAAGTTTTTTTTAATTTTTAGGTGAGAAAGTGAAAATTGGGGCGGGAGAAAAATAAAAATATTAAAAAAGAATTGGGCGAAGAAAATAAGTTAGAAGAAAAAATTTTTTAAAATAAAGAATTGGCCCTCCCGTGATTAGTAAATAAACTTGATTTTACGAGAATTAAAAAATAATATTTTTAGTTAGAAAAAAAACTATTTTTAGGTTGTAGTGTAGAGAGAAATAGGTAGAGTAAGTAGTTTATGATGTAATACGCGCATTTTGAAGTTAGAAAAAACATTTTAAGTTTGGTGTTGTCGGCGCTCATTTCTTTGGGCGGTTGTTGAAAAAGTGAAGAGATTGGTTTAATTTAAATGGCTTGAATTTTTTATAATTTTCGATTTACAGAAATAAGGAGGAATCGACATTTTTGTTAAACTTACTCAAATAATAGAGTAGAAATTCTGAAGTTTTAGAGGAGAGATTCACATTCAGAAAGTCCACATTCAAAATTTCGCAATTTTAGATAATTGTTAAACAATTTTTATAAAGTAGCGCCCTAACGGTTCCATGCTCTAACATAATTTTTCCTTATTTTACTAATAAAAAAGAAGAATACTATAAAATTATTTTTTATGGAAAAAAGAGGAATGCGAAAAAAAGTTTTTTATTAGGTCTTATGTCTTTACTGCGCGACAATTTTTTGTATTCGCTATTGTGAAATGATGAATCACTCCGATAAATTTTTTGAGGAAAAAATTGGGGAAATTAATAAAAAAAACCTTAAAAAAGGAATTTATTTATTAATTGATGTAATTAAATTAAGAAAAAGTTTTATTTTATAAATGTGTGTAATTAATATTTAATAAGAGTTTTAAGTTGGAAATTAAAATTTTTTAATTGAGAAAACTTTTTTTATGATTATTAAAAATTTGGAAGAATACTATTAAAAATTAGATGGGAAGGCTTGGGAAAGCTTAGCCGATATGTCGAATCGAGTTGGACTATTAAATTAAAACAAAACTAGAAAATAGACAATTAATTTTTAGTGTTTTTAACTTTCTGAGAGTATTCTGAGGTAAATGTCCGGTTGGTGTCCTACATGTCCGCAAAGAGAATGCGCATTTTTCCTTCCTTTTCTTGCATTTTTTTCTGTAAGGAGTGGCGCCCATTTTTCTTTTGTGTATTTTGTGCCTTTTGGCATGTCGAAGTAAAGAGGGAAAATAATAAAAATTAATTACTAGTAGAGTACAAATATTTTATTTTATAAATGATCAGAGATGAAAAATTTGGGACAACATTCTCAAATAGATTTCTAAAACATATGGAGGAATCTTAATACACTAGAAATCTTAATCTGTTCCAGAATGCTTCAATCTGCTGTGTATTTGCACCGTTGACTGGATTCATAAAGAATTGTTGATGATTTACTATTTGGGGTTGATATCCTAACTGATCTAAACCTAAAGTGAATTAATTCTGTTTGTAAATCATCTAACATTTATTAGTTATAATAACTTTATTAGTATTAAATTAAGTACTCTACTAGTAATTAATTTTTATTATTTTCCCTCTTTCCTTCGACATGCCAAAAGGCTACCATACACAAAAGAAAAATGGGCGCCACTCCTTGCAGAAAAAAATGCAAGAAAAGGAAGGAAAAATGCGCATTCTCTTTGCGGACATGTAGGACACCAACCGGACATTTACCGTATTCTGATATTTTAGGAATTTTTATTAAAAATTAATTTTTACACATTAGAAAACGTAAATAAATGTGTAAAAAATAAAAATTTAAAGTTTAAATTTAAAAATAAATACAAAAGTAAAAAAATATTTTTAAAATTTTATTTAGGAATTGGAAATGTTAATTGGCAAACAACCTTCCCTACACCTAAAAATGAAGAAGAAGAAAAAAATATTTTTGTCAAACAAAAACAACAACACTTTACAAATACAGTCGTGGAAAAAAGTATGGAAGCGCTAGAAAATTTTTTCTTAATTCTTGATTTTTCATTCAAAAAATACGTTCTATATACCAATCGAAAGCTCTATTCGTATCTCAGTTGACATGTTTCTGGATTTTTCATGAAAATGAAAATTGGCCGAGATAATCCGGATCTACCGGATATACCAAATCCCACTTTTTCGGAAAAATTTTTTGGAACAAATTTAACAAACCCAAATGATAAAGCATATTTTTCTGAGTATTTTCCACAAAACCGCTAAGAAATATCTTTTTCCGGAGCAGAGATATGATTTTTTGAAAATCGCATTTTTCGTCTATTTTTGCAAAAAATTCAATTTTTAAGCGAAAAATGCGATTTTCAAAAAATCATATCTCTGGACCGGGCAAGGATATTTCTAAGCGGTTTTGTGGAAAATACTCAGAAAAATATGCTTTATCAAATGGGTTTGTTAAATTTCTTCCGAAAAATTTTTCCGAAAAAATGGGATTTGGTATATCCGGTAGATCCGGATTATCTCGGCCAATTTTCATTTTCATGAAAAATGCAGAAACATGTCAACTGAGATACGAATAGAGCTTTCGATTGGTATATAGAACGTATTTTTTGAATGAAAAATCAAGAATTAAGAAAAAATTTTCTAGCGCTTCCATACTTTTTTCCACGACTGTAAAAGGACAACAACAAAGCAAACAAACACTTTAATAAATAATATAACAATAAAAGAACATTTGGGGACAACAACAACAAATGAGGGATTATTGAATGATTTTTGGAGTGAACTTGAACATGAAGAAGAAATTGAGGAGGAAGAGGAAGAAGAAGATGAAGCAAAACAATTGGATCAGAATAAAATTAATAATGAAGAGAATATATTGGATGTTTTGGGAGGAGTTACAGGTAAATAAATGTTTGTGTGAAAATGTTTGTTTTGTTCTGAACAAAATTTAAATCGGGATTTTAACAGAAACAAATAATAAACGAGTACAAAAGCATGTTCGCAAACATGTTTGTATTTGCTATAATTTTGTTCAAAGTTTAGAATTAAATTTATTTTTTTTCGTTTTAAACACTTTTTGAAATCTTTTTCGAAATTCTAATTTAATTCGTCTATTTTAGTTTTTATGTTTTTGACATTGTTTTACTTTTTTTTAATTTTTCTGAACATGTTTTTGATGAGTAATTATGATTATTTTAAATTAATTAAAAATTATGTCTTTTCAAAAAAAAAATTAATTTTAGATAGTTCTAGACATAAAAGAGAAATTTCAAAATTTAATGATAACGATGAAGAATTCTTTGAAGAAACATTTCAGCCCACTATAGAATTTAATTGGGCTCAAGAAAAAATTCGAAGGCTTGCTCAAAGTTTGCTTTTTAGTTCTCCGGGTATTGCAATAACGGTTTGTGTGTTTATAAAGTTTTTTTTTAAAAAATATTTTTATTTCTTAAAGATTTCACATTTTCCCTCATATGTTATTCTTCGTCGTTTTGGCTCTTATTTGCCTATTTTTATTGCTCTTTTGATTTCTTCAATAATTACTGGAGGATTTCCTTTTATTCTTGGATTGGGTATTTTAAATAATTAATTAAAAAAATATTTTTTTAAATATTTTTAAAGACGCCCCTTTTCCGCTTATTATGGTCTCAAGAATTCTTTTGGGTATTTGCGTCTCTCCTATTTTTACATTTTTTGGTCAAATGTCAGCACAATGGGCAAGTGTTGGTGAACAACATTTTTTTGTTTTAACTGGGTTTTTGGCACTTTTGGTAATTTTATAATTAAAAATTTTTTTTTAATTTTTTTTTAGTTTGGCCCAATAATAAGTTGGATATTTACTGTTTGTTTTCTTTGGTTTGATGCAAAAAGTAGAATTTTTGTTTTTGGTTTTCATGGAGGTGAGGAAATAATTTTATATTTAAATTTGAGAGTTGATAGGGCAAAATATGTTTTTCTAACAAGTTAAAAATAAATTTAGAAACAAAATATTGACGACTAGGTTCAACTTTTTTTTCTTTTTCTGAAAATTCGTGATTCTGTTTATATTTTTCTAAACCTTTGTTTCTGTTTAAATTTATTTTTAATTCATCAATTAATTTTAATGTGGGGGTTGTATTAATTTTTAATTTTCAACTAAAAATACAAACTTTATTTTTTTATTTAGCTTTGAGTTTTTCTCTTGCATTTATTTGGCTTATTCTTTATAGGTAATTATTCAAAATTAAATAGTATCTTATTATTTTTTTAAAGAGATCAGCCTCAAACACACAAATTAGTTAATGGAGAAGAATTACATTATATTGTTAAAAGAAAGCCTCGAGTTTGTTTTTTCTTCTAAAAAATAATTTTATTTTTAATTTTACAGCAAAAACACACTCTTTTAGAATTAAATTTACCAAATTCTCTTGCTTGTCTTTTACTTCGTTCAACTTCTGCTTGGGCTGTTTGGATATCCTCTTTTTGTTTCTTCTTTGCTATATTAACTCTTTTAATATTTTATCCAATATTTTTGCACAAAATTATGAGACAATCACTTGATTGGTGGTATTTGACTGTTCCTTTTATTTTATTGGTTTGTGAAGGATTAAATTAAAATAATTTTTTAGTTTTTAACTTTTCTTCTCTCTCATTTTATTTCTTCATTTATTTCACATAAAATGAAATTAAATATTCTTCGTCACAATACTTTAATTGTTCGAATATTCAATAATTTTGCATTTGCATCTTCTGCTATTATTTTTTTGTTTATTGCAATGTTGCCTGGAAATGAAGAACAACCTTTTACAAATAATTGGTTAATTAATATAATTTTTGGATACTTTTAAAATATGTTTTTTCGGAGCTTTTTAAAAATACTTTAACATTTAACTTTTTTATTTAAAAAAGGAGACTTATTCTACTTTCAATTTCATTATTTCCACTCGGTTTTACTTCACTTGGATTTATCAAATCAGCCGTTATTAGTGGTGGAACTCATTTTACTCAATATATTATTTCTCATATGCAATTAGCTTTTGGATTAGCCTATACCTTAATTCCAACTCTTCTTTTTTCGAATATTTCAACAACAAGGTAATTTGAAAATTTTTTATGTTCCGTTCAGATAGAGAGTAGAGTGAAGGGAACATTAATATTTTGAAAACTTTTTTCATAATGATTTTAAAATAATATTTTTTGTCATTTAAGTGCGTTAGTTCATTGGCGTTTATTATTTCTGATTTGTGCGTTATTATTGCTTTTGGGAGTGGCGATTTTTACGATTTTGGGGCGTGGTAATTTTCTGATTTTTTAATTATTTTAATTTAATAAATTTATACTTTTAAAGGCACACCAACGAGTTGGGCCGAACAATGGTCTCAAGAAGCTGTTGGTGATATTCCTTTACTTTTTGTCAAATTTTCTCCTCAACACCAACCGCTAAGGTCTTCTGCAACTTCCCCAGCCGCAGCCCAACTTGCTTCAGTTGCCTCGGAAGCAGCTGCAGCAGGAGCGGCATTGTCTTCTATGCATCGTTTTTATGATGGGGAAAGGCTTTGATTTAATTATTTATTTTTGATTTAATTGTCTTGAAAAATTTTATTCTATCAAAGAATTATTGGGGTGTTAGAATGTGTTGTGGTTAGGGTACGACTTTAGAGAATTGAAGAAAATAAAAATAAGCTATGAAATTTAACTTGGATTTTACTTATGGGATTATTTCCACTTGTGAAACTGAAAATTTTTTAAAGAAAATTTCAGAATTTATTAAATACTTTAAGTCGTACCCTAACGACTCTAATTTATTGAAATATTTTTTTTTGGATTTTTTTCTTTTTTTTTTGTCATTTAAATTTTAATTGTATTTATTTTTAGTTTTGTCTAAAAATACTTCAAAAAATCTCAATAAAATTTTATTAAAATAAATTATATTAATTATTTGAAATAAAGAATAATCAAGAAAAATTGATTTTTTACTTTTATCTATTAAATTATTAGTATTTTTTTGTTTAAAAATTATTGTTTGGAGTTTTAATTAACTCTAAAATTATGTGTAGTTTTAGTTTTTATTATGAAATTCAAAGTTCTTATAAAATATAGCGGTTGAATAATATTAAAAAAAAGTCTTATTGTAATCGAATCCACAAAAAAGCTGTTCGCATTTTTATTTAATCCTTTCTTTGATCTAATCAATTTATTTTTTTATTTATAAAAAATAAGATAATTTTTGCCTTAAATAAATTTAACTTTTATATAAGCGTTATTAAAATTAATTATTTTAAAATTCATAAATTATATTATTATAAAGCATTATTAATTTTTAACAATAAAATTTAAAAAGATGCATTTTACAAAACATAAAATATGTATGTACTTGTTAATGTTTGAAGATTGTTAAATTATTTTTATTTTTTTTTAATAAATAAATTTATTTTTTTATTTAATTACTTTTGAAAAAATTTTTTCTACATATTAAAAAAAATATTTTTTTAAATTTTTATTTGGTGCCCAATGGAAAGAGTAAAGGAAGGTGGACGTCAATTAGTTGCTGGGGGAACTGCTGGTAAAATTGAAAAAAAGAAAATTAATTTTAAGAATTATTCTAAAATTTAAGGGATGATTGAAGTTTGTTTAATGCATCCTTTGGATTTGGTTAAAACAAGGCTTCAAATTGGCGGGGGACATTATAAGGGACTTTTGGATTGTTTTGGGCAGATAATTAGAAAAGAAGGACCTTTGGGTAGGTTTTTTCTTAATTGTTGTTTAGAGAGAGATAATGAAATTTTGAATAATAAAAATGTTAGCCAAAATTTGGAAAATTAATTTTTTGATCGGGATTTATTATTACAATCGGGTCTTAATTTATATTTACCCTCCTGTGTACACTCTCACTTTAATGGTTTTAAATTTAGTTTTCTACAGAGGGAGGAAGGAGGGGTTTCAGATGGTGGTTTCAGCCCTAAGGACATATACCTAAATTAGGTCCGATTGTATTAAAAGAATACTTCTTTGTTATTAATTATTTTTTCTATTTAAAAAAAAGGTTTCTACAAAGGAATACTTCCCCCAATACTTGCCGAAACCCCAAAACGAGCAATTAAATTTGCAACGTTTGATCAATACAAAAGTTTATTGGAGCCTTTACAAGAATTTCAAGTTCCTTCGTATGCTGTGAATTTATTTTTTTAAATTAAAAATAAAAAAAATTAAATTTTTAAAGAGACTTTCACTTGCTGGATTAATGAGTGGAATTACTGAAGCTGTTTGGAATTTTATTTAAAAATATTTTTAAAATTTAGTTTGTTATTTGCCCATTTGAAGCAGTCAAAGTTCGCCTTCAATCAGAAATGAATGTTTCCCTTACTCAAGTGTTTTTTTTAAATTAAATAATTGGGGAATGAAAATCCGGAAAATGTTTTCCGGAAAGTATTAACAAGTGGAATAAAATAGTGTAGAAAAAGAAGAGACAGAGAAAACTCCTCTTTCACGATAGTCTTTTCTAGTCTTTAGGCTTTAATTTTTAAAGTAGTGAAATTTAAATTTTTATTAAATAAATTAAAAATAAAATTTATTTATTTTATAAAGCAAAAAAGTGCAGTAACAATGGCTAGGGAAATAATTAAAACAAATGGTTTGGGCACAAATGGATTATATTTAGGGCTTGGGGCTACTTTATGGAGACACGGTGTTTCTTAATTAAAAAAAAATTTTTTTTTGAAAATTAAAAAATATTTTGAAGGTGTTTGGAATCTTTTTTATTTTGGTTTATATCATAATTTGAAAACTTTGATTATTTCATGTAGGTTATATTTGATTTTTGGAAAGAAATTATAAAAGTATAAGGCTATTATTAAGTAAAATGGCGGGTTCAGGAAAAGTCGAACTTTGGGTATTTGGAGGACTTTTTCTGATTCGGATACACCAACATTACTTCTCAACAATCTTTTATTAGCTTTAGTTTTTTAGTTTAAAGGCCCTATATTTCATAATTCTATATGAGAACGAAATTACTTAAAATTATAACGTTATTCGAAGGTTACAGAATTGTTGAAAGGGGAAAGGAGGGTTTATTTTTCTAAATTTTATTTATTTTTAGCCCCAACTCAACAATCATCCTCACAAACAAATTCTTCGGGTAGTGTACTCCTAAAACTTGGACTTGGATTTATTTCTGGTTCAATAGCTTCTATTGCAAATATTCCTTTTGATGTCGCCAAAAGTAGAATACAAGGCAATTAAAAGAAATTTTTTTTTAATTTATTTTCTTTAAATTTTTAACAATTTTCAAAGGTCCCCAACCAAAAGGAAAATCTAGAACATATATTACAACTTGGCAAACAATTTCATTAATTAAACGAGAAGAGGGTATAGCTGCACTTTATAGGGGATTATTACCTAAAGGTAATTAATAAAGTGTTTATTTTCTAAAAAAATTTAAGTAATGCGACTTGGTCCTGGAGGAGGAATTATGTTGGTTGTATATGAGACAGTTTATGAATTTCTGTCTAAACACGCATAGAAAAAAGAACTGATTGAAAGGAAGTATATAATTTTAGGATTGATTTTGGAGATTATTTAAAACTAGATTTTTTATCAAAACCTACCCGACACTTGCCCTCCTTCCCTTCTCTAAATTTCTATATTTTAAATATTTTTTAAACTTGCCTTATTTTTTAAATTTTTATTTTTTTTTAAATCCCCCAAAATCCCTTTCTTTTAATTTTTTGCATTTTCTATCAAAAAATATATATGTAGATTGACCTATTTTTATTTTATTGAATTTCTTCTTACCACAACTTTTCTCGTTCTTTTTTTCAAAATTTTATTCAAAAAGATTTTATTTTTTTAATTTGAAAATGTTAGCATTTTTATTTGATAAAAATAATTTTCATTTAATTTTGTCTATTATTTTACATATTCTTGGGATTTTTACAGGAATATTTATTTGGAATATTTTCCCCAAAAAGGTATAAATTAATTTAGTAATTTTTTGTAAAATAATTTAATTAAGAATTTAAATCAAAAAAGAATTATTGGTCCTTTATTGGAAAAAAGGAGAGCTTTTGCAACTAAAATTAATATTGAAGAGAAATTATTAAAAATAGGGGAAGAAGATGGTGAAGAAGGGAAATATTTAATTGATAGAATAAGAGGATAAATAATTTGTAATTTAATTATTTTTAAATTAATTTTCTTAAATAAAATTTAAATATAATTATTATCAGTTCATTTGTATTTTACACTCCGAGTCATCACAGATTGCTAAGTTTCTTAATGTATTGGATTTGGTTGAACGGGTATGTTGAATACGGCCAAGTTAAGTGCAGTCAAATTTGATCGGCTTATCTTTTCTTAGTATTAATCCAATTTAGATAATATTCCTATAATTCGAAAGCCCTTAGTAAGCAGAATTTTTCCAGATGGTCAAAGTCCAGCATTCCTTAAAAAATTTAAAATCAAAACACCAAACTGACCACAACTCAGTTTTGGCGCGTAAATGGAAATTCAAAAGTAGCTTCTATTTTGATGGCTTGCCGAGGAAATTTTTATTTTTCCTTTCATTGTTTAATAGTTTATGTTTAATTTACCTAATTTTTCTTTATTTTTTAAGCAATAATTTTTTAAAAAATTAATAAAAAATGTCAAATGAAAAAAATGAATCTTTTCGTTATGTCAGAAAGTAAGTATTTAAAAATATATTTGTTTAATTAAAATTTTAAGAATGGCAAAAACAATCGAGAATGATGAAAAACGTTTTGTATTTCTGCGAAGGTTTTGTTTAAATTTTTTAAATTTAAATTCCTTTAAATTTTCAGTCAAGTAAATTCAGTGGAAGATTGCATGAAGGAGGGACCGAAGAAGTGTCAAACAATTAAATCTTTGGTTATTTGGGCTTTAAAAGAATTTATTCCAATTGAAAATTATAAAAGTGATCCCCGAATGCTCGATTTTTGGTGGCTAATGGTAAATAAAAAGTTTTTAATTTTTTGAAAACAAATTTTGCTGACAAAAATAATGGGTAATATGGAACCGGACAGACCCCGTTTTCCCCCTATATTTTTTCTTTTATTTTTGGCATGTACTTGCATTTGTACAAAATTAAATAATCTTTTTTGTTTGATTGGAGGCAAAAATTAGAAAGGCAATTTGGATGGAAGACAAGAAAAAGTCTGACCATTTTGCAAAAATACAGGGGAAAATTGGATAGGAAAAGGGGTAAAAAACTTGGGTGTGTAAATTATGTAAACAAATCCGCAAAATTTGTCCGCAAAAATTATTTGAGAATTCATTGATTTGCCCTTATTATACCCTTAAAATTAATTTAAGGGTAAATACAGCGTTAATATGGGAATGGAAGCTGTTCTCGAAAGAATTAATCGTCTTGGGTATTTCAAAAATGTTCCGGAATTTTATTTGATGTGGGCTGATTATTTTGGGTCAAAACAGAATCGAGAAAGTTTTGACAAAATTGTTCAAATTTGTGAAGAAAATTGCCAACTTGGTCCTTCTGAGGAACGTTTTAAGTATTTTTTAAATTAAAAATATTTTTCTAAAATTTCTTCTTTCAAAGATTTTTACTCCAAAAACACTTTGAAAGTGATTATTTTAATGAAGGAAAAACATTGGATGTTATAAAAATGTTGGCAGATAAATCGGAGGTTGTGAAGTCTGATTTAACTTTATTTCAACGAAATAAAGTTGTTGATACTCCACAAAATATTATTTGTGACACAACAATAATTATTGCAAAAAATCAATCAAAAATAACAAAAAATACTGACAAAATTGAGGAAGAAAAGTCAAAATTAAAAGAATTATCACCAAAAACTGCTTCAACTTCGGCAGCAATTCACGAAGAATTTTCTATTTATAAGGATGTTACTTATACAAAATCTTCAATAACCGTTCAAAATACTGTTAAAAATAAAAGGATTTCGGTTAGTTAATTTTGAAATTTTTTGGACAGTCTGTGAGGAAAGTTAGGAGAAAGTGTATCCCTTGGCCATTGGGGGAGGGGGTGGGCAAAGGCATTTAAAATTTTTATTTTTAGTATTATCCTGAACTTGATGACATAACACTTGCTGGTGCTCATGGAAAGTTCTCAACGGATATGTTTACTTCGACTCCTCGTCGTTCAGTAATGCCTAGCGATTTTATTCCTTTAGATTTAACTGAAGGAACTCAATTTTTTGATCCGACTGAAAAAGAAGAAAAGGGTGAAGGAGGGGGGCTTTTTGGATGTCAGTTAACTGAAAAAGTTGGAATAAAGGAAAATGAAAAAGATTGTGGAGGTTTGAAAATGAAGAAACGTTTAAGTTTTGTGAGTTTTTAAAAAATATAAAGGAAATTAATTAACGTTTTTAGGCTGATGAAAATAAGCGAGGAGTTTCTAAGAATATGAATCCGATGGCGGAAGCTGTTGAAAATAGGACTTCGGTTAGTAAAGCAAAGGCGTATCCAGCGCAATATTTTCCCCATTTCCCCATTTATGGAAAGGGTTGGATTTCAGTCCCCACTGTATACCAAGGGCGTAGCTAGGGGTCGATTTCAGCGGGGGGCTAAAATTGGGGGGAGCGCCAAAAGTTTGGCGTTTGCTCTGGCGTTCTTGACGCAAATTTTTTTGAACGATATTTTTATTTTTTCAGCGCCGCAGGCGAAAATTTTTTGAATTTGGACGGTCATAGGCGAAAAAACTTCACTTTTTTGCTCAATCCTTTCTTCAAATTTTTCCCTTTTCCCCATTTCGGACTTTAGCCCCAGAAGCCCCCCTGGCTACGCCCTTGCTGTATACGCCTCGGGGTCTGAGAGGATTGTATATTACAAATATTTTTAGTATTATCCTGAACTTGATGACATAACACTTGCTGGTGCGCATGGAAAGTTCTCAACGGATATGTTTACTTCGACTCCTCGCCGTTCAGTAATGCCTAGCGATTTTATTCCTTTAGATTTAACTGGAGGAGATCAATTTTTTGATCCAACTGAAAAAGAAGAAAAGGGTGAAGGAGGTGGACTTTTTGGGTGTCAATTGACTGATAAAATGAAGGAAAATGAGAAAGGTGTCGGTCTAAACATCAAGAAACGTTTAAGTTTTGTGAGTTTTTAAATAAATATAAATTGTTGAAAATAATCTAAATGATTTTTTAGGCCGATGAAAATCAACGAGGAATCTCTAAAAATGCAAATCCTATGGCGGAAGCTGTTGAGCGGGTAAAGAAATTGGTGGGGAATAGGCGAGATTGAATTTTAAAAAAATTGGAAATTTGTTGAAGAGATTAAAGAAAGGAAAGGGGAAAATTGTATATTATATCTCGCCTAGTCCTTAAAAATTATTTAAATATTTTTATAATTATAAAAAATCAGGTCAAGAAATCAAAAACTAATCCAAATGAATTAATCAAAACTTTACCTCAATTAAAAATCAGTTCACCAATAAGTGAAGGTTCTGAAAATTTTATGTCCTTTAACACTCCAGAATTTCCATCTCCATTCAGAAAGAAGAAGAAAGACCAAGAATAATTTAAAAAAAAAACAAAAAAATAATATTTGTAAATTCTGATTGAATTGTCTACCGATCTATTAACCGAAAACTTACAATTTTTCCTGATTCTCGAATATTTTTTTGAAAATTTAATGTTATAGTTGGATCTCTTTTTTTACGTAAACGAAAAACCCTTGAATTTAAGTAGATATATTTTTTCAGTTTGGTCATTTAGTGGTGGGGGAATATCGTTCAATATATTGGATTTTAGGGTTTATGTAAATATGAGGTCTGACTGTAATTAATTTATGATTGATGTTACCCTGATTTTAAATTAATGGAATAAAATCCTTGAATAGAGTTGATTTTTTTATAACTTTTGTAATAAAATATCAAGAGGGGTTGGGGGTTTAAATAGAAATGATTATTTTGAAATACTTAATATAATTAATTTTTGATTACAGGGTGACAAGAAAGTAATGGGACACTTTATTTTTGCCATAACTTTAATCAAATTGAAGATAATGAGATCAAATAAAGATGAAATTATAGAGAACTAAATGGAGAATAAAATATAAAAATCTTTTAGAATTTTCCCTATTCTACTTTGAGATACGGTTAAAGGAATGTGAGAAAAATTATTGCTCCAGGTCGCAACTGTTTTTGAGACATTTTGCTTATAACATTAGAATAGATTGCAGGACGTACACAAAAATTTTTTGGTATCTAGAGCAGATCTATAAAAATTATAAAGCAAAAATTTTTTGGATTAACGCTTAAAGAGATATTCGATTGCGCGTAACCCTCCCAAAATGAGAAAATCGCATTCCCCCCAAAACTGATTTACATATACTCAGAGCCATCCATGTAGGAGTTGGAGTTTTCATCTTTCAGATTTGTCCGGTTCGCTAATGATCTTAATTAAATTCTGTTGAGATCATCCCGTTTGGACTTCTCCTTTCTGAGATACAGAAATCAAAATTTTGGGGGGAAAATTTTGATATGGTGTACCTAAAATTACATAACTTTCTTAATCCTTAACAAAAAAATCTTTAATTCTACGATATGATAGAGAAATAAATGAGCTACAAAATAAAAATAAAATTTTTCTAAAATAAATTTGGATATTAAATAACTACCTAAATTAAAACCCCAAGACATTTCTCTCCAAATAATTATTTCGTAATATCTAATTAAAAATATTTTCTTTAATTAAAAAAGAGTGTGGCTGTTTCCTTATTAAATAATTATGCAATAAATTTATTTTTCCTTTAATAAATTTCTTGTATTTTATTTGAATTGCGCAATTTTTTATTATTTAACAGTTTTGTTTCTCACGAGTTTATTATTTGAAGAGTTTGAAAAATATTTTTTTTTGTATTTTTTAGAATATTTAATTAGGTATACCTATTTAGGTAAATATTTTTTTGTAAGAATTATTAGATATTTTTGATTTATTTAAATAACAATAATCACATATACATAGAACTTTAGACTTTCTGACATTCCCACCGCCACATTTATTCACCTACTGAGATGCCGAGACGGTAATTTTTCCCCTTTTTTAAACTTTCATCTAAATACTTTAAACATTAATAGCTATGTAAATAAATTTCCCTCGCAAAATTATTTAAGAAAAATTAGTATTGTTTTTAATGTGGAAATGTATTGTTAAAAGTGTTGTGACTGGTTATTGGATATTAGATTAAATAAAAGGCGAAGCTGTTACTTTTAAGTAAAAATCTTTAAAGTTATTTTAACAATTTTAAAATTTAAATATTTAATTACTAAAAACGAGTAATATATAATAATTAATTCTATTTATTTCCACCCATCCTCCACCCTCACTTTTTATTTATTAAACAATAAATAATGCTTCCCTTTTTAATCGACAAATTTTGTGGCAGTCACTGTCTATTACGGGGAGAATGAGAGCTCAAATTTTCTTTTAATTTTTTTTCTCTTTTCTTTTTTTATAATCACAAACAATTTGTTATACATTTATGATAAAAGTAATTATTCCCCCTCTATCAATAAATTAATTAATTTTTGGGTTGGGAGGCTTATTTCCGCTTCTTTTTCTATTAAAATATTCTTTTTTATTTATTAGTTAATGTGTAATAAATACCTTTTTTTTGAATCTTTTTTTACAGTCTCAGTCAAAATTAATTATAGTGAAATTGTTTAAGTGAGAATTCATTTTCGGGATTTTGGATCTCGTGAAAAATTTACCTTATTTTCACTTATAGACTTACTTTATTGATATCAATAGAAATATTCACAGAAATTTTTGTAAAAATTTTCAACCAATTTCTAATATAAATTTGCTTAATACTTATTTTGAGAAGAAAAACTCGATAAAAACCAATCGAGTTAACAATCTTTTCAAAATTTGATGGGAGGCGGGGGTTAAACGATCTAACAACTGGATCAGAAAAAATTAGGGGGCGTTATAACACAAATATAGTTTCTTAACACAGTGTATGTTGTGATTGAAGTTTGTTGCAGTTCATTTTCTTTCAATTAAATATTCGAAATTATGTACTTTTAAAATACTTTAAAACCCCTCTCTTTTTCTTTCTTTGTTTATAAATTTAAAATTTTTAATTTAAATTTAAAAAGTAATCAAAGATTAACAAAAACTTTTCTTTAAATTATTTTGCTTTTTATTTTTCGGACATTGTGGTTTATAATCAAAAAATAAATATTTAAAAGAAGGTAGAAGGAGGGGAGTGAATGATGTGATGATTTTTGGTGGTTTTGGGAGGAATGAAGAGTGAAGAGAAAAAAAAGAATGTGTCAATAAAATCAGTAGTTATTTAAATGAATATTATCAATAAATAATTGGGGAAAAATAAATAAATATTTATTTATTAATTTTTTAGTAATTGTTTTTATTTTTAATTATCGTAAAACTTTTATTAACTATCCTGGTTAATATCTTGGGTAATAAAAGGAGAGCAATTAATTTCGACATTCCGTTGAAGGGAGTAATTAATCAAGGGAGGGCAATTATAGGAGGTTTGAAATTTGAACGCGTCTTAGGCAATTAATGGAGGGCAATTATTATTTCAATCTATCCTTGGAGGGGGTAATTAATAGAAGTGAGGGGTAATTATTTAAATGAGAGCAATTAATATAGGTTTTATGATATTCAATTAAAAATATTGTATTCTTAAAATTAATAAACTTTAAATTTATCTAGAAAATTTAAATACGGCGGTTTTAAATATTATTTAAATGTTGAGGGGATTACTTTTTAGTATTTTAATAATTTATAGAAAATTTTGATTGATTTATTTTTAACGTTAAAATTTAAAACTAAAAAGAATTTATTAATTTAATCATAAATCAATTATTATTACTGTTAAACATATTAGTAAATTTGTTTCATTTATAAATTAATTAGTTATTTCATAATTTTTCTTTTAAATTCTAATTAATTTATTTAAAAGATAATTAAATTTGTTTTTCTCATTTATTTAAATTGTCGAGAACTTTAATATTTATTTTTAAAATATTTAAATATACTTTTATTTATTTTTAAGTAAATAATAAAATATTAAAATAATTTTTTAAAAATGCAACCAACCAACAACAACAACACAGCTTCAACTTCCCCAACATTAAATGTTGAAAGTAATCAAAAACAAAAACAATGTCTTAACAATTCACACAACAACAGTGGAAATAATTTAACACGTAAATTAAATAAATTAATTGTTTGTTTTTAATATGTGTTTTTGTTGAGTATATTTTCTCAAAATTACAAAAATTGTTACTTCTTTTGTTGAGGCTAAATTATTTTTGATTTAATTATATGTTTCTTTGTTTCTATATTTTATTCAAAAATAAATTAATTTTAACTAAAAAAAGGTACAAAATCATTGGATACTTGTCGTGTTTGTGGCGATGGTCCAGCCAGAATGCATTATGGAGTTCCGACTTGTTTTGGGTGTAAAGGGTTTTTTAGAAGGTTTAAATAAATTAAATTTAAGATTTTAATTAATTTAATTTAGAACATTAAAAAGGACAAAAGAATATACTTGCAGATATAGTGGAAATTGTATTGTTGATAGATGTATGTAAATATTTAATTAAATTTTTTTAAAAATAATTTTTTAAATTAATTTTTAAGTATTAATTTTAATAAGTAGGTTTTTTAACTTCTTCCTTTTAGAATTTTTCAGTATTTCGGAGTTTTCCCCTTAAAATTTTCCTTTCGTTTTAAGCTTCCTTAACCACTATATAATAACTGTCTTCATCTATCAAAATGTAAGAATCAGCATATTACTTCAATCCTATATTTTTTAATTAGTATTTTCAAGCTTATGTAAAAATTATTATTTCAAATTACAAAGAAAAGAAAAATCTAGCAAATCAAAAATAAAATTAATTAATTAAAATAAGATGAACGCAATTCCTGTCGTTATTGTCGTTTCAAACGCTGTTTAGAAGTTGGAATGGATCCAAAAGCTGTAAGACCAGACAGAGATGCTGCTGGCCGTACACATCCAGTTAGACGAAGAATGTCTAGGTTTAAAGAAAATATTTTTTAATAAAATTTTTTTAAAGAAATTTATTAAATGGGACAACAAATAATAACATTAATGAAGTTGTTGTTGTTGGAGGTGAACAAGAGGTTATTGCTGATAGTGGTGGTAATAATGGGGTTGGTGCTGCAGATGCAGAATGGGTACGGAAATTGCCTGTAAGTGTAAAAAATAATCAAAAATAAAATATAATATAAATTTATATAAGTTAAGGAGGGGAGTGGGGAGTTGTCATTTATAAATTAAATTTACAATGTATTTTTAAAAATATGCCTCACAAAATTACATAACTTCAAAATTCCATTTCCTATTTTATTTCTAAAAAACAGTTTCGAGTTTTTAACTTCAATTTCTATATCTAACAACAATTTTTAAAATTTTTTTAAATAAAATTTTAAAGGTTGAAATGCGTACTTTATTAATGCAAATAATGAATATTGATGTTATGGTATACAAAATTAGAAATTAAATTTAGAATAAAATTCGTATATTTAGATACAACATGGGGACACACAAGAAAGTCCAGAAAATTTATATCCACTTCCTTTTACAAGTTTACGACAAATGTTTGAAGACCCGACATGTTTGGATGGAAAAAGGACTGAAGTATTTAATTAAAAATTATTTTTTTAATTTTTAAAATTAATTTTAGATAAGATATGAGCATTATAGACAAGTTGAACCGAAAGAATTAACGGTAAAAATAATTAAATAATTAATTCTAAAAATATTTTTAAAGTATTTGGCACATCGGAGATTAATTGCTGCTGTGGACACAATTGATCATTTATGTGCTTTGATGGATTTACACAATATTAGAGACAAAGTATTTATTTAAATTCTAAAAATTCCCTTTAATCTTTATTTACAATCCATCCATTTCCTTAAAAATACCCTAAACCCCTTTAATTAATTAATAATTTTTTTAAAGTTAATCCTCACAAAGGCAGCATATGCACCATTATCTTTATTTTGTTCTGTGTCATCTACAGCACGTGTATATTTTTAATTAAAAATATTTTTATCACTAACCATCTTATTTATTTTTAAAAGAAAATTTTTTAAATTAAAATTTTTTATTGTCAGAATCTCTTTAAAATTTAATTTAAAACTCTTTTTAAAGATAACAAATAATCGAGACATTCTCTGCCTTTGTAATTATGGTTATGTACCTAGAGGCGCTCATCTTACCTATTCAGAACCTTAGTAAAGAAATATTTAATTTTAAATTCAAAAATATTTTTTATTTTTTAGCCATTTTGCTAATCGAATTGTGGACAGAGCTTTAGATGAACTTGTAGAGCCTTTTCGAACATTTAATTTCAAAGAACGTGAAATTGTTTTAATGAAAGCTATTGTTGCATTAAATCCTTGTTTGTTTTTAAATAAAACATTCTAAAACATTCCAGTCTTTTACGGGTCAAAATTCAATGCCCGACTTGATCGTTCGGACCAGACCTGGCCCCCAACCCTATTCATTAAATACTCATTTTACTTTAAAAACATCTAAAACACTTTACACTAAATTAAAATCAGTAAAATCAAACTAACAATACATTCCCAACAAATATTTATTTTATTCACCTTTATTATTTCTAGATTTGCCAAGTCTGTCAACTGAGGCAGCTGAACAAATAGCTGATTTTCGTGATAGGCTACAGGTGAATATTTAAATAATTTTTCGAGAAAATATTTTTTTCTTAAAAAAGGAAACATTATATAATGTTGTTCGTGAAAGCCATCCAAAAGAAGTAGCTTCTTCTCGTTTTGGAAATTTACTTTTATTTCTTCCAAATATAATGATACTTGGAAGTATTATGATTGAAAATTTACAATTTTTACATTCATTTGGAAGTCATTGTGGAGGTATTGGGCCTTTACTTGGTGAATTACTTGAGGAAGAGTGTGAGGAAAATATACAGGATTGTGTGGGTTGTGGTGATGATTTGTTGTCATTAAGTAGTGGAGAGAATAATGATGGGGTATATTCTTAATTATTATGATAAAAAATAAGTATAGGGTAATTTAAATAGAATTTAAGGGGTTTAAAGGGTCTTAACATTCCAATTGTCCTTTACCGTTATCCCTCGGGGATGCCCATGATAATAATGCCCCATTTTTGAAATGACACGTAATTTATTGGTATCTATAAACAGAGATTTGTAGTAGTAATAATTTTGTAGTAAAGTTATAAAGATTTATATATATTTTAAATTTAGTCAATGTGCCATTCTCAATCAACCGGTTCAATTACTTCACAATTCGGCAACACTTCAACAAAAAGTTGTGAAGATATTACAATGTTACAGCAACAATTTCAACAACACCAACAATATTCTGCTCCTAATTTAATGTTAATTAATTCTCCTTACCTCAATATATTATTTCCCTTTCAATTTATAAACCCCCATTTATTTCGGTCATTTCAAATTAAAGTCTCTCTCAAAAATTAATTACCTTCGAAGTTTAACGAAAGTCAAAATAATCTCCAATTTATTGAAACCTTTTGGAATTCTTTAAAAAATATTTTTAGGGGATCTTCTTCTTCAATACCAAACGAAATAAACAAATCTAATGATAGACTAGTAGCATTGCCTTCTGTTGATTCTGATCCAGACTATAATACTACGTTAACTGCTGAAAGTTTAAAACAACAAGGAATTCAACAACAAATGGAGGTGATAAAGATACACAAATATTTTTAAAAACTTGGGGGTTATAAATAAATGTAAAAATGTCATTGGAAGTTGGTTATGATGCGGATTAAGCTTAATGAGATAAATTGAATCGTGTATCCAATTAAGATTCTGGTTACATAAAATTCTAGATGAGTGAATGGATTTTGAATTTTGAAATTTTATGGACTAGTCCTTTCATATCATTTTTTTGTTAAAGGTCGATGACAGTCCTCCACAATTTACTCAATCTCAACAACAAAATTTATTAAACACTTCACAACAACAGGAAAGACCTCAATTCTTCATTGACCCTTCAATAAACCAACTACAACAACAATTTCAGCAATATCAACAACACCAACAAGTAACTACTGTTGCATCTACAAAGTAAAAACAATTTTTCAACCTTCGTTAATAAATAATTAATAAATTATTAATAATTAAATAATTAATTAGTTTTAATTTCAACTTTTTTTTTAATAATTCAACTTTCATTAATTTTAATAACTAAATTCTTAAACATTTTAACATTCAATTTGATTTTTTTAGCTTACTAAAATTAAAAAAACAAATTTTATTTCCTAGACACATCTTTACAATAGAAAAATCATCCCCAACAACAGCACTTCTACAACAACCATTACAATGTTCTCGTGAACGTTGTGCTGCAATGATGGGTAATAGATGCTCGAATGATGAATGCCCAGCGGCTTTAGCTGCTATATTTCAACAACAACAACAACAAAGTATTTTTAATTTAAATTAAAATAATTTATTATTTTAGTGCAACAAACAATTAATAATCAAGAGAATAATTACAATAATATAAATAATACTCAAATATTTTCACAATCGCCCCAATCAACAATAAATCGTTCACAATCATTTTCGTAAGGAAAAAGAATTTTTAAATAAAAAAATTTTTTTATTTAAAGTTATTTTGATGTTTTTGATGCCAACCAACAACAACAACCTTTTGATGATTTAATAACCCCAACCGCAAATACATTTATTGGGAATTATCCTCCTTTACCTAATACAAATTCTTATAATTTCTTTCAAAATGAACAATAAATATTTTAATATTTTTTTAAAATAAAAATACCTAAAATTTTATTTTTAATTGTCTTAAGAAATTATCAAAATTGGGTACTACATGTTTTTAAAAAGATACTAGAAAATATCAAATAAAAGTAGAGTATACGTACATATATTAGAGATAGGTATTTTCAAAAATCCTTGATCCGGATTCTGGATCTGGATTTAGGTTAGTAATCTGGACAGGATTGTTGATCTGAATCCAGGAAGAATCCAGACTGGATGCAAATCCAGTCTGATCTAATACTTCCTGTTAGGGTCGGGATTGTCTGCACGGTTCTTGGATTATGAGAATAACTGGTTTTTTCCCAATTTCCAAGTACATATCCCCACACCTTTGTGTTCCTTTAAATTACGATTAAGTTTATTTTTATTTTGCGAAATACTACATTTGTGCTATTTTCACAATATATTGTTTGTTCATCTCACACTTTTTTTGTTTATTTTGATATATCTGATTTTAGTAAAATAAAAAAATGAAGAAGCAGAATTTTTGTAAAAATAAAAGAAAAAAAATAAAGTTTTTATTTTAACATTCACTTTATTGTTGTCGAAGTACCTCTCTGTCTCTTCTCAATTTTGTGTCGTTTTATTCATTCCCAACAAACATTACGAGAATGATTCATTTTTATTCGCTAGGATTTTAGAAATATTTTTGTAAAAATGAAGTAATAATTTGAATTTAGACTTTTTTTCTGTTATAGTTGGACATAATAATTACAAAAAGTGGTACATTAATTTAAGTACATTTTTTAAAAATTCGTTGGCCGTTGGGGTGAGCGATCCAATCTCACCTCCCAGTTTACAATTATAGTCTTACAATTATAGTCAGCCACAAGTTTAAACACATAATGAGATCAGAATGTATTTTTCAAACAAAGAACAATAAATAGATGCCAATATATAGCATAAGTTTTATTGCTGTTCTTTCATTTGTTTTAATTAATTGTTTTATATCCAGTGTTGAATCTTTATGGGTCTGTTTGAGCAAAATCTGGCTTTAAAAATTTATTTAAAGGTTCCCCCCGATTATTGGGCTACAGTCTACAGGAATGGCCAACTTGAATTTGGAAGATCCATCGATGAACTTATTACCTTCCTTCCAGAGTTGAACAGCTATATTGGATATTGGTTGGGGGTTTTGTTTATTATTATTAGTTGCTTATTAGGGATTGAATCGAGACTTATTTAACAATCTTTTATGTTTAAGAAGTCCTTTCTCTCCATAATCATTCTTTTGTAGGATTGAAGACAATCCAAATATAAAACAACGAATAGAGGGCTATGGTCATGTTTCTATTGTCAACACAGACCCTCCTCGTTTTTGTGGAAATTTTGCTTCGTTTCATACAAATAAAAGTAAAAATATTTGTGGAGGATTTCGTGTTTTGGCTTGCAAAAAATCAAGAAATGGGAAGAAAAATCCGTAAATATTAAATTTAAATAATTGGGGCTTTTGTCAATATATTTAAAATCAAAATTTGTATACAAATATTTTTGTAAATTCAGGGTCATAACAATTTGGTCCGCAAAAATGTGAAACATAATATTAAATTATTCCTCCTTTCTAATATTTTCTCTTTTTTTACGGTTTGAATTTTCAACTTTTGCACAACCATCTCGTGCTGTTGAATATTTAGATGTCCAAATTGCGCGTCTTAGATTGAATGATGATAATTGGGTATATGGAAGTTCAAAACTTTCTGAGAAAGTGGCTATTGCCGTTAATCCAAATAATGGGAAATTAATTAGGGTATTTTATTGAATTTGGATGGAAAAAATATTTTTTTAAATTAAAGTTCTCCTTTGCTGATAAACCGTTGGAATATAGGGGAAATGTAAAAATTTTAGAATGTTCTAATGATTTTCCAGTAGAAGATATACTTTCAACAAGCTGGCCTTATCCAACATTTCCACCAATTTATGGAGGAAAAAAGAATAATTTAATTGATATTAAAGAATCTCCACCAAAAACAACAACCTTTCCAGCACCAACAACAATCCTCCTCACCAAACAAGAAACAACAACGTTAATACCTTCCGTAGTAGAGCAAGTAATTATTAATAAAAACTAATTTTAAAATTATTTTTCCTATTAAAGACAACAACAATAACAACAACTATAAAGCCTCAACAACTTTCAAATAAAGGAGATATACAAGAGACAGATTATATTGAATTAAGCGGTGCTGGTATAAATTGGGGTTTAGATAAAGAATTTGTAAAAAGGGAAGAAGGAAATGAAAATTTATTTAATAATTCAATTACAAATAAATGGTTGAGGGATGATTTAAATATTTTAACAACAAACCATCAATATCATCAACATCGTCGTAAAAGATTTAAAGTAAAAAAAGACAGGAATATTAAGAAAATTTTTTAAAGAAATTTTAAGATAATATAAATACTTATAGTATATTTTTTGTGTTACATATCAATTTTATATATTTTTTAATAATAAATGTAAAGCATATAGCTATTTAATTCCAAAGGCGTGAAGTAGGCGGCGTGGTGTAATGGATAACATATCAGTCCGGTCTAATGAAGATGTTGATTCGCACCCAGCCGCCGTTTAACCTTTTGCACTAGCTGAAGGAGAGAAATAGCTATGGCCCAGCTCTGATTTACTTGAGTAAAAGGTCCAAGATTGAACAGAAAATTGTGTGCATTATATACTTTCCTTAAATTACTTGTTTCCGGAATAAACAAAAACATGTATTTAACAAAAAATATATTTACAAGAAATACATTTTTTAAAATACAATTTTAATAATTTTTAAAAATTAAAATTTGTAAAAGTTTTTAATTTAAAAACAAATTTTATAAATAATGTCTCCTCTCAAAAAGCACATTTAATCTTCTTCATCAATTAATTTCTCAGCTATAAAACAATCATTCATTTTATAATATTCTTCATAATTAAATAAAAACCATTTTTGATAAGCCAATTCTTTAAATTTATTTTTACAAACATTTTTAATTTCTCTTAATTTTAAAATTTTAATTAAATTAATTTTTGGATTTATTTCTTTTATTTTTTCTTTTATTTTTCCCTTCTCCATTTCAAATAAATAATTCCCATCATCAATTAAAGGTTGTAATGTTAATTTTGAAATTATTTCATTTTTCTCAAACATTTCTTCCTCAAAAACAACCAATTCTCCATCATTTAAATTATTCTCAGTAGTTTTCGAAACTAAAATTTCTATTCCCCTTTTTAATCCCTTAAATATTCCAATTTCCTCTTCTGTCAAATTTTCAAATATTTTCGAAATTAATTTTTCATTATTATTTTCGAATACTTTAACAAAAAACATAAAATATATAGTTTCAAATGAATTTGTTAATTTAATTAAATAATTCCCCTTTTCTTCAAATTTTAAACAAATTTCAATTAAATTTTTTCCTTCTTTTTTTATAAAAATATTTAATTTAATTAATTTTATTTCTTCGACATTTCCATTGTCGATTCCCTTTTTTGGTTCGAAATATAATGGATAACGAAATAAAGGCTTAACTGTTAACATTCTCTATAAAAATTGGGAATGTTTTTATTAAAAATTAAATTAATAAAAATAAAAACAAACTTCGTATCTTGGGTTGTAATTTATATTTATTATACCATAATTCATTTCATATTCTAAAAGGCCACCCAAAAGTAACTGCACACCCTACTTATTGCATAACTTTATTCAAACTTAAGATAATGAAATCAAATAATTGATAGGGAAATATGTAAGTAAGGAACAAAAACATTCAAGAATTTTCGAAGTGCCCACGGAGTTCAAGGCGTGTTGTGCAAATGTTCGCAACACCTCTGTTGAGATTTTCTACCATTCCGGGACGAGTGATTGCCGCAACGAATCCAAACTTTTGGGTTATTAAGTGCAGATCCTTGCCTCCAAATTCCAAGAAACTAAATCCGGGAGTAATTTGGCTGTATTTGTTACAAGTTAAAACTGTGTAAATTTGGGGGCTCACCAACCATGCACATCTCTTTATTTTGACTCAGGATTCACGAAAATTAAGGTTATTTTGACCTTTCTACAAATAACAGCCCATAACATTAAGAAAGAATAACTATAGGATTAGAAAGAGAAGACTTTGGGGCCAAGAAAAGAGAAGATTTTGCCGATTCGACCATATTTTATTCATAAAAAAATTTTTTCTTTTGAAAAATTGACACTTTACATACTAACAATAAGAAGGTACTTGCATCCCTGGGTCCTAACTCGTTTCATTTTTTGTAAGAAGTTGTCTTTTTTGAGCATGTAGGGCTTGAGTCCTGGTTCATTTTTGGTCATCCTTCGAATTGATTCTCTTGTTAAACCAGATTTCCTTGCACGTTTTCTTGTCGAAAAAATCCTTAGTAGTAAATTAATTCCTAGTATATAGGAATTTAACCATGTTCATGTTTTGGTTACGTTTACTGACCAAGGTCTGTTCTTTTCTAAAGTCAAGATTCATTCCTTCCCTTAATATTTTTTTTAGCAAAATGGACTGTGCTTATTTCAACATTGAGAAGAGTTGAAATATTGCGAACGATAAAATTTCTGGGAAAAAAGTTAAATAACAGAATCATACTTATAAGCTTTATGTAAAAGAGAATTTAATGGGCTATAAAATTAGTATAAAAATTTTAAAAATGAAAACGGGAATAAAAGTTATGATAAAATGAAAAGGCAGTTATTTTTGGGTTACCGTATGAACTCATAAATCTACAAATTACAATCCCCTTTCTGTAATAATTATTGAAATTGTCAATAAATTTTAATTTAATTATTTCATCGTTAGAATTTGCATAATTTTCCAAAGAATACATTTTTGTATTTTCATTTTTATTGCAAAAATGACCTACTGGGGTTATATAATATTCTTTTCCATATATATTTATCCTTGAATCAAATTCAACTGAAATTTCAATTAAATTTTGATTATTTTTGTTTATAGAAATATTTTTTAAATTAATATATTTTCTACTTCTAATAACAAAATTCTTTTCATTTAATTTTTGAATATTTTCAAAAGAAAAGTTTAAAAATAAAATTAATAAAAGAATTAATTGAATAATCATTTTTGCTTGTTTTGTTGAATATATTTAGATAAAATTAATTAATCTAAAATTATTTTTATAAAAAATATTTGTAATTATTTGAAAAAATAAAATGAATTTAAAATTATTTGCCCTTTTAAATACATGGATAAATAAAGGCGACTAGGGCATGCTTACTCTGATAGGTTTTTCTCATGGCTCATGGGACGCATTTTAAGCTCAAGCGTCCCATGCGCTTAAAATCTCATGGGATGGATGTACAAAGTGTTGAGCCAAATATATTTACGTGGATATTAAAAAATATATTTAAGAAATAATGCACTTTATTAATTTAATTTACAATTGTGAAAGATACAAATTTATTTTTGTATTTTTAAATATAATTTCTAATAAATTTTTGTAGATCTTGCTGATAATTAAACCTCTATTTCGTTATCCGTTATATTTTAAACTGAAAAAAAGAAATTAAAAATAATAATATAGACGAAACAAAATTAACTAAATTTAATATTTTTATAAAGAAGGAAAGACTAAATTTTAATTAGAATTTTATAAATTTAAAGAAGAATTTAATTAAATTTGATAATGGAAAGCATTTTGTATAAATATTTTGTTAATTAGAATAACGGTAAAGGATATTTAAAGAATTTAAATTTATTTAAAGAAGGAATTAAATTTGTGCCTCAAAAACTAAGAAAAAGTTTAATGGTAGAAAGCTCGTTTACAAGAGAAATTCTTTTGAAAAAAATAAAATTTAAATCACCAAATTGTTTTTATTCAAGATAAGAACCTTTAATTGATGATGGAAATTATTATTTTGAAATGGATTATGAAAGGAATATAAATAAAAAAAGGAAAAATAGAAGCAAAAAATTATTTTAAAATTATGAAAAATTAAAAATTATTTACTGAATGATTGTTTAATAGCTGAGAAATTAATTGAAGAAGAAATTGGAGAAAATTAAATATTTTTTGAGAGAAAAAGGGTTATATTTTATATTATAAAATATCTTTTTTTATTAACAAAACTTTTACAAATCATTAGGCACATCTAATTTATGTTATATTAAAAGAGCAGTCAATTATATAAATGATTTCACTTTTTATTATGTCTTTTAAGGAGCCTTTTTAAGAATAATTAAAAAATTATTAAAAAAATTTAAAATTTAATTTTTATAGATGTTTTTAATCCCCTTCAAAAAATATATTTTATTCTTACATTTTCCCGATTATTGAAAAAAAATATTCAGCATTACTTTAATCACGTCATTAACGCATTCTGGCTACTTTTCTATTATTACTTGTTTTCTCCCATCCATTTGTGCAAAAATAAATTCATTATTTTTGTTGTTGTTATTCACTTTTTTTATTTTTCTCCATACTAGCAATATTTGTAGATATCTAAGAGGAATTTATTTAATTAAAAAGAATAGCTTAATCCCAAAAAATAACTATTTTAATGTTCGCCTTCCTTCCAATTTTGTTTAGCCTTGAAAAAATTTTATTTTGCCTCAACATGCCTAAACAAAACTCTTTTTCTAAATCGAAATTTCATTTCTCAATAATCTTATTCAATTCTTCAATTTAAATTGTTTTTTATTTCCAAAATTTTATTTTTTTTATTTATTTAAACATTCAAAAACACAAAAATGCCAATGAAAATCACCGATAAAATCGGTGCGTGTTTTTAATCTTTATAATTTGCGCGGCGGATGTAAAGGCGACCCAACCAGATTTTGTTTTTCTATTTATTTATTTATTTATTTTATATTTTACTCTCATTTTTGTGTTAATTTTTAATTTTTGTTTTTTCCTTCTTTGTCCAAAAAATATTTTTATTTTTCTTCAAAATTTCCATTTGTGTGGTCTATCGCTTCTTAATTCTTCTAACTTCTCTCCCAACTAATTTTAAAATTAAGTTAATTATTTTTGTTTTTTTGGCTTTTGAATTGATCTTTTATTTGTTTTGTTTTGCTTGAATACCAGAATTTAAGTAAAACAAAATCAGAATTTTTTAGAAAAAGAAAAACTTATTTAAAGACAACAATTGACACAAAAATCAGAATTTTAAAATTATTTTTAAATTTTTACACAATTACTATACCAGAATTTTAAATAAGAATGTCTTGCTCTTTTGATATTAAATATATGTAGATATTTTTAAATTCTGATTTTTTAAATCTTTTTTTTAATAATTATTTCTGAAGCATGATAAAATAGAGAAAACATATTAATCACTTTTTAATCGTTAAATAATTATCAAAACATTACAAATTATTTATATTCCTTTCCTTTACTTTCACTTTTCCTATTCATTTATTTAAAAAAATTATTTTTTTTACTTTTTTTAATGAACGGGATATATAAAAAATAAATAAATAGAAAGGATATGGGGCGTACGAGAATTTCAGATTTCTATCAAAAAAAGAGAAAACGCGCGCAAGTATTTTCTGCGTGTGCCACCACAAAAAGCGATCCATAGAAGATAAAGAGAAGGGAGAAAAATAAATATAATTTATTAGATTTTAAGAAAGGATTTTAAAAACAAAAAATAAATCTTTGTTGTTTATATGGGGATGCGGTCCATTACTTTTCGGCTCTAAAATAAATCTGTGTATGTAAAGTATTCAGGAATTATTAATCTATTAAATCATAAAAAATAAATAAGAAAAGGAAAATTTTATTAGAAAAATTTCATGCTGAACGCCTTTCCTTTAAATTAAATATTTAATTTTATTTGAAAATACAGTCCATAAATTTTCAGAATATAAAATTATTAAAGAAGATATTTAATATAACAAATTACTATTTAGATAAAACAATCTTAAATTTTTTAAAAGAATTTCTAAATAATTATTGTCTGATTTCACAATTTTTTTTGAAATTGTTTTAAAAAAAATCAAAAATTATGCTTACATTTCCTAATGGAGAATTTACTAAATTTAATTTTTTTCAGAAATTTAATAAATTATAATTTTTTAATTAACCTATAATTAATTAAAAACAAAATTAACAAATTGTTTCTTTGATTAATAAACATAAAATTAATCATTATAAACATAAATTTCTTATGGATTGAAAAACCTGCTCTTATTTATTCTATTTGTTGAGTACGCGTTGATTAAATATGTTTATTTTGCTTTTAATTATTTTTTTGATCAAAAATCATAATAATTGATTTATAACAAGTATTATAACCTCACATTAAAGGGAAGCCATATTTCGGGGTTTTTTTTGATTTTAATTAAATTAATTGTTGGAACTGACATTTGGACATAATTACCAATTAATTAAAATGTTTTTAATTGAAATCCAAGTTGGATTTCGATATCAGAATTCAAAAAATATTTTTTAAACATTATTATCGGATAATTATTAAGCAAAAATCTCTCCCTCTCTTTTTTTTCTTCTCCCAATTAATTAAAATATATTTAAAGTAAATTTATTTATGAATGCATTTTTTGACTATATTATTTTGTTTATTACTTCAAATATATTTTATTAAATGTAAGCCACAATTTAATGAAGAAAATCGACAAAATTTTGCCGCTGACCCTCACCAACAATTTTCATCTATACAAAAGTTTAAAAATAAAATTTAAAAAATTACAAGTAATATTACTTTTAAGTTTTGAACATTCATTAGAAGAAAGGCATAATGAAAGGGATAATGTTGGTAATGTACAAGATAGAAGGACAGCTTTTGCTGCTCCAACAAATAATATTTTAAGACCACAACAAAAACAACCTTTTAATTCTGTTGCATTGAATGGAGAAAATAAACAATTTTTTAGTTAGTTTTTAAGAGAGGCGATTATTATTTAATTTTTTATATCTATTTTTAACAAAATTTCTTCCTCTCTGTCAATTCTTCTCTTTAATCAGAATTTTTAAAAATATTAAGTAGAGAACTTTTCAAATTTTCAGGTCCTTATTCAGACTAGGATTAAGGCCTAAAACACTGGAAACCTTGATTTTTGAGATGTTTAATAAATATATGTAGATAAGGATACTTTTGGATACGCGGAAATATTTAAAAATAATTATTATAGTATTCCTATAATTTCAAATTCTTTTATAATTCAATCTCTTGAAGAATAAAAATTAATAATTTAGAAATTCATTACCGAGATGGAATACAAAAAGCAATTTTTGATGAAACACAGAGACGTGCCCCACCTGATTTTGGTTTGAGATTTCTTGAAATTAATAATACATATTAGGAGAAATATACTCTTGTAAAAAATAGAATACTAATTTTAAAAATCAAAAAATTTAATTATTTATTTGTTAATAAAATTACAAATAAAATAAATTATTTTAACAGAAGAGAGTAATGATGTTGCTGGGAGAAATTTTGATATATACGATGACTTAAGTCTTGTAGAGCCACATAGAGGTATTTATGTACATTTTAAATTAAAATAAAAAATATTTTAATTTAAAGAATCATCAATATTTGTTCCTTTAATTTATCGAAATGAAACTTCTTCTGAGGAAGCTTCAAATGAAAAGAAAAAATTATTTTTAACTTTAAGACCACAAAAAGTTCAACCGACTGTTAGGCCATTAGTGGCACCTGAATTAATTGGGAGACAACAAATTAGTGTTAGGTAGAGAAATAAATAAATTTAAGGGAAAAAGAAAATATTTTTAAGAACAACAAGTCCACGTCCAACAACTCCAATAATTGGAAGGCCCCCTTCACAACAAACATTTGCTCAACTTGTCCCCTCACAAACAGTTCTTCCTATTCAACCAACAACTATCCGTCCATTACCACAACCTAATAGAAGACCTCCTCCACAACAACCCCAATTCCCTCAACAAGGATTTCAAGTTTCTAAACAATTTTTAAAAAACTTCATTTAAATTTTAGCAACAATCCCGTTTTATTTCAACACCCCCAACAACACAACAAACAAGTTTTCAAACATCAAATAACCCTATACCAAATGAAAACATTGCAAGTATTCGGACTGGGGGTATGTTTTGTTGTGAATAAATTTAGGGAGAATTTAAAAAATAAATAAACAAATACACAAACATTCTACAAATCAGAATTTTATTCAAACATTTTTCCCCTAAAATTTAGTTTGCCAACAAAGTATTTTCTATACAACACAACAAGTTACCGGTGTTGATATTTTAAAAGCCTATACTCACTTTGCTGTTGTTGTATCTGTTGATCAATGTGCCCGAACTTGTCATGAATTTAATTGTGATGTAATTAAATACATATTTTTAACAGAAAAAATATTTTTTTTTAACTTAAAGGTTGCAATTCTTGATCCAAATACTAGACATTGCCAATTTAAGTAATTAAAATTTAACTAAATATTTTAATTTTAATTTTAGCCCTTCAACAGCATTTCGTCTTTCAACTGAATGTCCACAATGGCCGAATCCTTTGTACAGGTATTTAGATTAGAAAATAATTAGTTTAAATTTAAATTTAGGAATAATGCAGTTTTGGGCACTGAATTAATCAGAATTCAATGTATAACATGCCAGCGAAAGAAAAGTAAATTTATTACTAATTTACAATTAATTTCAAATTATAGGGAATAATTTTAAAAAATTTTAAATTTACAGAGAATAATTATTCACTTAGATTGTAACATTATTTTCGATACCCTTGCACTATTTTAATTGTTAAACTTCCAAACCTGGAATCAAAGAATTCCAAACAAAATATTTTCTTCTAGGCGGGGATATATGTAAATCTTTGAGATTCTTTTATTTTTAAGAATATTTTTTGTTAAAACATCACTCATTTTTTAAATTATTTCTTTAACAAATCAGAACGTGTTGTATTCCTTCCAAATGCTCAACGATTACCTCCATTAGCTTTTGCAAATTTACCTTCACCTAATTTTAATAATCAACAACAACAAACTTTTGTAATTTAATTTTTTTAAATAATTATTTGAATTTTTCTTAAAGAATCTGAGACATCCACAATTTCCTCAATTTAATGAAAATAATCAAAATAGTGATTCTATACAAAGGTGACTCCTTTATTAAAAACTCCTTTATTTAAAAAAAATTCTTTAAATTCCTCAGAGTAGCTAATGCTGTAAAAACAACAAATTCCAACAGTTTTGGAAAAAATCCTCTTATTCGTCCGCCGATTACTGCAATGGGTAGAAGGACAGAATTAGTAAGAGATGGATTTCATAAAATAAATAGGTGGGTAATTTATTTAATTAAATATTTTAAGGAATTTTTAAAAATATTAATTAATGGAGAAGATTTTTTTAATATTTATTAAAATTTAAATAATGTAAATAATTGGAATAAAAAATTATTTCCTGAGCAAGGTCAAATTCTTTTTTAAACAAGAATTGAGAATCGTTTAGAATCTCAAAAAATAAATAATACAATTTTTTTGATGAATTGAGAAGAGTTTTAGTTGGATTGTTTTAGTTTTATATTTAACAAGAAATTTTTAGAAAAAATTTCTTTTTAATGACTAAAAATATTTTTAAAAATATTTAAGTAAACATTAATTACCCTTTACATATTTAGTTACTTTTCTTAAATTAAAAAGTACTTGAAATTAAAAAAAAAATTATTTTATTTTAATTTTAATTTTATAATTTTTTACAGGCTAATAAAATCAGTAGAAGAATATTTTGATTTAGAGAATGATAATAGTAATGATGAAATAATAAAGAGGAATGAAACTTTAAATGATGGAAATGTCATTCAAAGACCGATAATCGAGAAAAAAAATTTAAGAATAAAAGAAGTAACTTCTTGGCGTGAAGGCCATCCACAAGGTGGAAGGAAAGTTTAAAAAAAGAGGAAATAATTTTTTGTTAATTTAGGTGATGGCTTTAGTCCTCTTAAAATTAATCCATTGAGGAATTGGAGAAGGCCTCCAATCATTAAAGATAATTTTGAGGACATTAACAACAACAATAATCCTTTATTCCCTTTACAGCCAATTTTTCATTCTACAGACAGTTTATTGCTGTAAATAATTTTGTTTATAATTTAAAAATTAAAAAAAAATTAATTTTTAGTAAAAGAGTAGATGGGGGAATAACTGCTGCTAATGAATTTTCTCTTTTGAGGAGAAGAAGAACAAAGCGAGAAATGCTATTTAATTAATGGTAAATATACAAGAATTAAAAATATTTACATATTTTAATTAAATACTTTCGATCCCCAAAATTTAAAATGAATTAGCTAAAAATTTCCAAAAATGATTTAAATAATAAAAGAACAAATCAAATTTTTATTTGTTTTATTCTGAAATTTTTCATCTCTGCTCACCCTTCCTTCCATTAAATTTTACAAAGATTTACTAAAAAAGCTTTCCCCTTTACTAGAATTTTTTTTTTATAAATTTAAAAATTAGACAAATCAATCTTCCTTTTCTCTTTTGTTATTTCATCCTCATCCAAATAAAATTCATAACTTCCATCATTAATTAATGGAGAAATTGAGGCAACAAATCTCATTCTGGGATAGTTGTCATTTAAACGATTATATTCTTTCATTTGACCATCTTCAATATTATTTACTCTCGTTTTTGATATTTTTATTAAAATATAATATCTCAAACTTGACAATAATTTTTTATCAAAATTAGAAATTTTCTTGAACATTTTGAAAACACATTTTTCCTCATTTTCTTTTTTAATTTTAACGTAAAATTGGAGCCATTCGGCTATAATAAAATAATTTCCTTTATTTTTAAATTTTAAACAAATCTCAATGTGGGAATATTTAATTTTCTCTTCTCCTTTTTTGTCATTAATTGAAGTTGCTTCAATTAAATTAGCTTTGCTAAAATTTTCTCTTTTTAAAATTTTTCTAGGCTTTTCAAAATTCAAAAAACATATAAATCTTGTCAATTTATAACTTTCTTCAGATCTTGTCGATAAAATTGATTTTATCCTGTTTATATTTATTATTAGACCGAAAAGACTTGCAGCATTTCGAATATTTTCCTCTGAAAGTTTATTTACCTCTACTTCAATTTGGGCATAAAATGTAGGTGACAAAGTCATTAATTTCTAAAAATTAAAATATAGTCAGAATTTACACCTCCTACCTTAGTATCCCCCTCACTTCCATCCTCGTTAAATTCTTTTAAGCAAATATTTATTTCTTGTATTCTTGTATTGTAATACAAATCCTCAATCAAAATTAATTTTTTCCCAAAATTCCCATTAATTATCCCTTTTATTTTGTGAATATTTTCGTAAGAGCTAATACACACGCCCGGGTAAGAACTTGTAAAAACATAATCATTTTTATTTTTTTCATCAATTTCGTATAAAATTTGAATTTTATTTTGTTCACTGTCTTCATTAAGTTTATAAACTTTCATTCTCAACAAATTTATTTTATTACTTCCATCCTCGTTTTTATTGTTTTTTGTAGTTTCAACTACAATTCGTTGATTATTTTGTAAATTTAAGGAAGAAAAGGAGGAAATTAATAAATTAAATAAAAAAATAAAAAATTTAATTTTATTCTTCATTGAAGAACCGAAAATTTAAAAAAATAAAAATTAAAAAATTATTCTAAGATTATAGACTAATTCAGACTGCTTTTATAAGTCACCTTTTTATTGAAATTTCACACGGTAAATCATTAAATTCACGTGAAAAATAAAGAAATATTTTGAACTTTAATATTTTTGTTTACAAAATTATTATGTACTTTAAGAACTGGATCGAAAATAATTCGAAAGAAAAAGATCGAGAGTATTAATTTCGATCCAGATCTGGCATTTTTTAAGGATCGTTGAGTTTTATTTATATAAAAAATATTTATTTAGTCGGTCCTTCTTTTAAAATTATTTAAGACTGTCTTTGTACTTTAAATGATAAATAAATGTAGACAAATAAAGTAAATAGGAAAATAAAAAGATTTTATTTCTCAATAATTTTAAAATAATTTTTAAATAATTTTAAATAAAATTTGAAACAATTTAAAATAAATAAAATTAAACAAATATTTTTTATTTTTAAGAAAACCAACAATGGGGAATGTGCTAAATGAGCATTATTTAAAAATTAGAAAATCACCTTAATTAATTGAAAAGAAAAAATAAAATTAATTGTTATGAAATTAAAATGATTAAAAATATATTAATTATGTAATTTTTATATTTTAAATGATTTTTCTGGATTTTTTTAAAATTTTTTATACTATTATTTTTAAATTATGAAAGATAAATGTTTTAAAATAAATTTTGATTTAAAATAAGTAAATACATATTATATGTTTTGCAAGATTAGAAGATTAAAGTTTTTAGTTTACTAGTAACTTATATTTAGAGCTTATATAGGTATATGTAATTATTTAATAATAATTAATTTGCAGAATATTTCTTCTTTTTATTTGCACCAATACCTGGAAAATAATTATTTTTTTGGTACAAAAAACATTTTTCTATTAATAACAAACACACAATCTTTTTATGAATAAACAGAATGAATGAATAACCTTTAAAAAGTAAATAATCTTTGCCCTATTTTGTATTTTTTCTTTCTTCCTCTTTTTTTTAAATTTAATTGGCAACCTTAATAGATTAGCTAAATGGGCGCAAGAATAATTGAGCGTTTTACATTAATAAATGGAAATTATATAAATAAATTATGCAGTTATAACATTATATGTATTTATTCTTCAAATTTTAAGTTCTAATTAATTTGTAAAGATAATTAGTGTTTCCAAAATAAACATCGTTTGGTGTAAATTTTTTTTTAAAATTAGGTAAAAGAATTTCTAATTTTTTGACTCTAATTTTCATTATGGTGGATCTAAAAGGTTTGCAAATTACATTTATTAATTTAAAAATTAATAATTTCGAGTCAATTCATTTTGCTGATTAAATAGGCATCCTAAAATATTTGAAAAAATAAATATATGTAGCTTTAAACTGTAATAAATTATTTACTAAACATTCTTTAAAAAATAAAAATCTATATCTATGTATATAAAATCCAAAGCTTTATTTTAAATTCAATCTAAACGTCCTTCTTTACTCAGCGCCCAATCGTTACTAGCCACAATAAAAGGTTCATCAGGTTCAATCATCTCAAAATACAAAAATTGTATACCTATTATGACAAGCTTTATTAAAATATAAATGTCACACGCTAATTTCTAAAAATGGAAGAGGAAAGTTTATTTTTACTTTAAAAAATTATTTTTTAACCTATGATCTATTTGATATATAAATGGTTGGTTTTAAACCGTATTTTACTCATTTTATTTATTTTTACAACATTTTTATGTTCACATTAAAGGACCAAGAAAATTCCGAAACCCTAAATGTTTACACTATTTTTTAAAATTATCTAAATTATCCTCCTCTGTAACAATAACTGTATATCAGAATGCCGTTAAAATTAAAGAAATTATGTTCGGTATTTTGTTTTCGGATTATTCAGAAGTATTTTTTCGGAAACATTTGACTAAATTATATTTAAAATATAAACAAATTCAAAATAAACTCCACCCAAAAATACCCAATCAGAAACCCTCAAAAATCTTTAATGACGTTCTTCTCTAAATTTTATTTGGTATAAAACAAAGTTTCTTTTAAAATTAGTTAAATAAACTTTAAATATATTCATCTCAGAAAATGACCTTTACAATTATTTTATTGCAGAAAATTAAATATATTTAATTTAATTTATTTAAAAATGCTCATTTTCCTTTTCTTGAAGTTCCCTATTTTTGTAAAAAAAAATCAAGTTTTTTTTAATTTGAATATTTCTTTTTCTTTTTTTCATTGAAAGTTTAACTTTTAAAATTTTCTTTGAATAAATTATTTTAATTTTCTTGTATACTTAATAGATAGTTAATTTGTACGTAATAAATTTATTTATTTATACTATTTTGATTGATATGTAAATATTTACTTTGAAAATTACTTAATTATTTAAAGTTTTTTATACAAATTTTTAATTAAAAATTCCCCCATTTAAATTAATTTTGAAAAAAATTAAACGAGTCCATTAAAATATCTAAATCATACCTCCGTTGCATTGAAGATTATTTTTGGGAAGCAGATAAGTGTATATCGATCGAGGCATCTTTTTACAATTTTTTGTAATAATTACTTCCAAAGGGGAATTAATTGAACAAAACATAATAATGCACCATCCTCGGGATTTCTTATCAAGGAAAGCTGTTCAAAGAAACTCACTAGTGCTATCAAGATTCGACTGTATTTCCTTTATAATATCAGGACAATTTAGCTAGAGACAGGATCTCCCTCGAAAATCTCGACAATCGGGATATTTAGAGATATCTCTACACCTAATCCGGACTCTAAATATAAATTTAAAGACCGGCATTGGGTACGAGATATCACGAAAAGTTACTAATACATATTCACAAAACCCCTATTTCCTTGCAGATATGACCTCAAAATTTTCTATTTTTCCACATTTTTTCCTTTACTTTTTCCCCTCTTTTATTCAACGAGTGTGGTCCGTCTAAATGACAAATTTTTTACAGATAATAAATTACCTACATATATAAAATCTATTGAAAAAGAAAAACACTGACTTTTGCTCAGAATTAAAATATAAAATGTTTTTCATATTTAAAAGGTTTATTTATTCACGTTTATTTTTACAGAAAAATTTATGTATTTATTTAGTAAACCTTTTCATTTTTTACATGTATTTTTCATCTTTTTTTGCTTTTTCCAAAACCCATTTTTTATCTATTGCCTTTTTAAATGTTTAATTAATTAATTTACAATCGGTTTTCTTTAATTTCAACACTTACATATTTGTGTAACCTTTTTGAGCAATATAAAATTAATAACTTTTTATAAATTTTCAATAAATTTCTGAAATCTTTTGACCGAAAAATACTAGAAATTTGGTTTATTTTAATCATCTATGTATATGAGATCAAGATCAATTGTCTCTCCATATCAGCGGTATATTGTATATCCTTTGGAGATTTGAATAAATTTGAAATTTGAAATTTTAAAATTTATAAAGTGTAGGGTTGCCGGTTATTAGAAGATCTTTGAATATTTGGATCTGAACTGGAGAACCGAACCGAAAAATCATTTGTTTTTCGCTTCTGTTCTTTACCGAATTTTTTTTTTATTTTGCCTTAAAAAT